TATCATTTATGTAACACTTATATTTTTTGTTTATACAGTATTGCTACCCTGTGGCTGCTGTAGTTCTCAATTATTATTATCATTATTATTATTATTATTATTATTATTATTATTATTATGCAAACAGAAAAGGCAACAGTCTAACAGATAATTAGTTTTTTTGACAAGAGAATACGAATTAAAGTGTTTGGGTGTCAACAGCTTCCAACATTTATCACTACAATAAAATTTTTTACTTAATATCAGTCTCTTTATTATCTAAGACGGAAACTAACATAAAACATGACTAACCTTCATTAACTAGGCCCTTAGTCTCCCCCACCACCACCACCCATGACTATGTATACGTCATGAGGGCGTGTCCTGTGTTGACTACGCCCAGCACGAGTGAGTCAGGACCGGGGGGAGGGGGAGTGGTGCTTCACACCCAGGTACTGACCAGGTGCTGACTGACCAGGTGCTTAACTTCACTGATTGAGATGATGTTTCAACCCTAAATCTGTATTTATAGTTTCCATGTATAAGTTTAGTTTACATAAGAACATAAGAAAATAAGGAGTCTGCAATAGGCCGGTTGGCCTGTGCATGGCAGCTCCTGTCGAGAGTTACTACCACTCTCTATCATCCATGAATCTATTTAGCCTCCTTTTGAAACTTTCCAGCGTTCCAGCACTTACTACAAGGTTGCTAAGCTTGTTCCACTCAACTACCCTATTTATGAACCAGTTCCTTCCTATCTCCCTCCTAAACCTAAACTTATCCAACTTAAATCCGTTGCTCCGAGTCCTATCCTGCTCGGATATTATAAGAACTTTGTCTATATCCCCTTTATTGATTCCTTTCACCCACTTAAATACTTCTATCATATCTCCCCGCACTCTTCGTCTTTCTAGGGAATGCAAGTTTAGTTTCTTTAACCTATCCTGATATGGAAGGTTTCTAAGTCCCGGAATCATTTTTGTCATTCTTCGCTGCACCGACCTAGTGAATTGATATCCATTCTATAATAAGGGCACCAGAACTGAACCGCATAATCGAGGTGCGGCCTGACTAGCGCAAGATATAGTTGCAATAAGACCTCTGCACTCTTATTACTTACACTTCTAGATATAAAACCCAATACTCTGTTTGCCTTATTTCGAACATTAACGCACTGTTTTCTAGGCCGTAGGTCCGGGCTTACAAGTACCCTTAAGTCTCTTTCACAAGTCGACTTCTCTAGGTTGATGTTGTTAAGGCTGTATACATTGACAATATTCGTTCTTCCAATATTAAGTACGCTGCACTTGCTGGTGTTGAATTTCATTTGCCATTTTTCAGACCACCCCTGCAGTTTATTTAAATCCTCCTGTAGTGCATTTGCATCCTGCCCTGAATTAATCTGCCGCCCTATTTTGGTGTCATCCGCAAACTTGCTTATGTCACTGCTAATCCCAGTATCTAGATCGTTTATGTAGATTATGAACAAGAGTGGGCCTAGTACTGACCCCTGGGGAACCCCACTGGTTACACAGCCCCACTCAGATTTAACACCATCTACGCTGACCCTCTGCGTTCTATCGGTGGGCCATGATTTTATCCAATTTAAAATTTTCCCCTTGATACCATGAGCCTTAACTTTTCTCAGAAGCCTCTGATGCTGTACTCTGTCAAATGTTTTGCTAAAGTCTAAGTAAATAACATCGTAATTTTCGTCATTATCTACTACCTCGAAGACTTTCCTAAAAAATGTCAGCAGATTTGTTAGACAAAATTTTCCCTTTGTAAACCCATGTTGAGAGTCGTAGATTAATTTGCTTTTCTCTAAATGCGATCGGATGTTATCTGCTATAATTGATTCAAGAAATTTCCCCACTACTGACGTCAAACTGATCGGCCGGTAATTTGACGCTGATGTTCTGTCTCCCTTTTTGAATATGGGTACCACATTTGCCTGCTTCCACAAGTCTGGCACAACTCCTGTGTCTAATGATTTTGTTAATAAATTTACGAGGGGTCCGCTAATCTGTTCCTACACTCTTTCAAGACTCGAGGGAAAATTTCATACGGCCCTGGGGATTTTGTCTTCTTTAATTTATTTTCCTCTTAAGGACATCCTCTTTTCTGATAGTGATATTCCTTAATTTCTCTTCTTCCTTTCCCCTAAATATCAGTTCCACCTCTGGAATTTCCTCGCGAATTTCTTCTGTGAAAACTGATAAAAAGTAGCTGTTTAACGCTTTGCTTATTTCTTCACTGCCATTGATCACTTCCCCCCTCCCTGACTTTAAAGGCCCAACTTTGTCCTTGACCTTTGTTCTATATACCTGGAAAAATCCCTTGGGATTCGCCTTGGATTCTCTTGCTATTCTGATTTCATAGTCTCTCTTTGCTTTCCTTACATTTTTCTTAACATTCCTAGATAGTTCATTATACCTATTTCTGAGCTGCTCCTCTCCTCCCTTTAATTTCTTATAAATTCCTTTCTTTATTCCTATGTCATGTTTAAGTTTTCTGGTCATCCACCTTGGCTCATTCTTATTTGACCTAATTTTTCTGTATGGTATATTTTGTTCTTGTGCTTTATCTAGTATACTAGTGAATATATTATAGTCATGATCAATTGTTGTGTCATCTGTGACTTCACCCCTTCCTACTGGGGACTCTGACCATATTGTCATTGTTTTTCGTTTCCCAATTTAGGGTGAACCTGATTTCTCTGTGATCATTGTTACCTAGTTCTTCCCCTACTGATAATATTTTCTTTCTTTGTTAATACTAGGTCTAATATATTGTCACCTCTAATAGGTTCTGTAATTAGTTGTTTCAAAAAATTGTCCTGTACTGCGTCTAGGAAGTCTTCAGATTCATAATCACCTACAATGTTGTCCCAGTCAATATTTCTGAAGTTGAAATCCCCCATAATGCATAGGTTGTTATATTTTGCTGCCCTACTCATTTCCTGCCATATGGGCTGACCTGCTTCTTTCCCAAGACTTGGGGGGCCTGTAAATCACTCCCATAATTAGTTTTTCTCTTCCTTCCGTGATTTCTACCCATACAGACTCGGTTCCTATTTCACCCTTTATTGAATTATTAATACAACATTTTAATGTATCCGTGACGAAGAGTGCGACCCCTCCCCCCTTCCTACCTTCCCTGTCCTTGTGAAAAAGGTTGTACCCTTCTATGTGGTACTCTGATAAAAAATTTAGGTTAGGTTAGGTTAGGTTAAATCCTCTTTTGGTTGCTGTTTTCTCTGTCAGTAACGTCCAAGTTGAAGAAGGAGCAGTAGTGTGAAGCTGTTGAGGTGTCTGAATGTCGGTCGAGTGCTATAACTGCATTCCAATAGTGACGACATTTGATATTGGATAATCTATATATAGTAAAAAGGACACACACACACTACATAGGTTGATGGTGTGATGTTAGTAAGTGTCCAATATTGGATTTAATTTTTTAAGGCGAGGAACGTTATTGTTGATTCTTAGGAGGGCGCCGTGCCGTGAGAGAACGTCAGGGTTAGGTTAGGTTAGTTATTGTTTGGAATCCAAACTTTGGATTGATGTATATACAGTATTAATAACAAAAAGAAGAGTCGACATTTTCTTCCAACACTCCAATTACCTGTGTGAAGTATCGTGCTACACAACCTTAATTTAGAACCGTTTATGAATTAAGCAGAAGCATCTTTCATCGATTTCTAGTTGCCAGGGGTTTTATTTTCTGGTAATTATCTTACAGTTTACAGAAGAGAATATTTTCTTATGTTTGTGGAGGTCAAGAGCTGAGTATGTCGTACAGGTAGGGAGCGCTGCAGGGGGTGGAGGGCAGGAGAGGGAGGGAGGGGCGTGGGTGGAGGCAGCGAGAGGGAGGGCAGGAGGTGAGGGGTGTCGTGTGAGGGTGGAGGCAGCAGGGAGAGAGAGGGGCAGTGGGTGAGGGGTGGAGGTGGAGGCTGAGGATGAGGGGTGGAGGGCAGCAGGGGAGGGGCGGTGAGGTGAGGGGTGGGCAGGTAGGGGTGAGGGCTGGAGGCAGCAGGAGGGAGAGAGGAGGGGCAGGGGTGGAGGGCAGCAGGGAGGGGAGAGAGGGAGGGGCAGGGGAGGTGGAGGGCAGCAGGGAGGGAGAGGGAGGGGCAGTGAGGTGAGGGTGGAGGCAGCAGGGAGGGAGAGGGAGCAGGGCAGGGAGGGAGAGGGAGGGGCGGGAGGTGAGGGGTGGAGCAGGGAGGGAGAGAGAGGGGTGAGGTGAGGGGTGTGAGGTGGGGCAGCAGGAGGAGGAGGGGCAGAGGTGAGGGGTGGAGGGCAGCAGGGGAGGAGAGAGGGAGGGGCGGTGAGGTGAGGGGTGGGGGGCAGCAGGGAGGTGGGAGGGGTGGAGGGGTGGGGGCAGCAGGGAGGGAGAGAGGGAGGGGCAGGGAGGTGAGGGGTGGAGGCAGGTGAGAGGAGGGCAGGTGAGGAGGGAGGGGCAGTGGGGTGAGGGGTGGAGGGCAGCAGGGGAGGGTGGTGAGTGTGGAGGGCAGCAGGGAGGAGAGAGGGAGGGGCTGAGGGGTGGAGGGGCAGCAGGAGGGGAGAGAGGGAGGGGCGGTGAGGGGGTTGAGGGGTGAGCAGGGGGTGGGGGGCAGCAGGGGAGGAGAGAGGGAGGCAGGTGAGGGGTTGGGGGAGAGAGGAGGGCAGGAGGGAGGTGGGGGCAGCGGTGGAGGCAGGGGCAGGAGGTGAGGGGGAGGGCAGGGAGGGAGAGAGGGGCAGGAGGTGAGGGGTTGAGGGCAGGAGGGGCAGAGGTGAGGGGTGGAGGGCAGCAGGGAGGGAGAGAGGGAGGGGCAGGTGAGGGGTGGAGGCAGCAGGGCAGGAGGTGAGGGGTGGGGGCAGCAGGGAGAGAGAGGGAGAGGCAGGGGTGGAGGGCAGCAGGGAGGGAGAGAGGGAGGGGGAGTGAGGTGAGGGGTGGAGGGCAGCAGGGAGGGAGAGAGGGGCAGTGAGGTGAGGTGAGATAAATAACAAATGAGAGGAACCAGTGTAAGACGCACCGCCACTGTACTGATGAAGTTTTCAGTAGAGACACAGCGCTTAGTTACAGAGACTTACACATACAGATTTTAATCCCGTCAAGTTGTAGATCATTAAGCAAAGGTTAGAACAATGTGAGAGTCAATGTTAAGCGATGAATGTGGAGTCTGGAAGTAATGTTGAATGTTTGAGAGACATTTGGTGGATTGGTAAAACAGGACTAGGAAGAGCAGTCACAGCACCTCTCCCCACCTCCGCCCGCCTTAACTGGACAGATGAACCGTTGTAATAGTTGAATACACGAGAGACCGCCAGCCACTGTACCACACCAACGTGAATAAAAGAAGAGATTAATCGATGTATAGATTATTGAAAGATGAGAACAAAATAGATTCCATGACGAGAAGACGAGCTGGAGCTTGATAATAACAGATGTACATTAACTCAGCATCTATAACAATGCCAAAGGATGATAACTGAGGTCTTTAGTTTATAGCGACGTTTCTACTGTAGGGTTGAGAAGCGTAGTGTAGTGGGTGACTCATCATCAACGGGTGAGCGTGGATAGGTCCCCTGGTGGTCCTTCCTTAACTATTAAATAGCAACCTTTACGTCGCCGTCACCATGGCAACCACCACGTCACTAATGCGAGAAGGTAAACAAAGAGTTGGAAAAGGTCAACGTCACTGAACTGGGGTATCAAAGTGACGGTATTCCTGTGACCTTTAAGGATGAATCTTGTGGCCGTGTTAGGTTTAATTAATTAACATGGAGGAAAATATTATAAAGGTCCACGGGAGAAGAGAGCAGAGGCCCTTAACGCAGACAGATCGACGCAGATTCCTAATTTGGACGCAATAACCCGGCAGGGGAGCACCGCGCTACACATCAACACCGACCTCCACAGTTTAATACACATTTAAAATAAAGTTTAATTCAATTGAGGAGTGAGAATGGTCTACCTCGCGGAGAACAAGTACAGACCCAGGCAGTATATGAAAAGACCTTCAGCACTCAGTATGGAGGAGTCACCACTACACAATGCAGCTGTTTTATACATCGCTGAAGACTGTACTGCACACCATCACTGCCACAAGGAGGTTTAACATTGTCAGGTATCCACTTAAGCACAGAGGACCTTGACCAAACCATGCCCCTTCACGGTCTACCTCTCAGAGAGGACTGTCGGCGTCTTTATATAAAGTGCGGAGAGAATCACTGGTGTTTGAGGAGATGTCCGAAGAAGGAAAACTCTCTCAGTATCTCTTCCATATAACATAGCGGTGACGAGTCTCCTTCCCATGTCTTACCTTCCTGTTCCGTTCACTAGTCATCTTTTACGGGTTCTCGGGAAGGTAATGAGGTTAACCATGATTAACCACCCGGGATAACAGTCCAAGGAGCTCCACTTGACACAGTATCTCGAGAGCGTTAGCCACATTTGCCTAAGTCATTGACCACCACGAAGAGGTCCGGCAGATGGTGGAAAAGGTTAGAAAATGATAACCATTGTATGTATGTGTTGTTTAGCTGTATTATGCTCAAACCTTTGATAAATTGGTGGTGACAGGAGAGGTGTGGTGGTGACAGGGAAGGTGTGGTGGTGACAGGGAAGGTGTGGTGGTGACAGGGAAGGTGTGGTGGTGACAGGGAAGGTGTGGTGGTGAAAGGGGAAGGTGTGGTGGCGTGTCAAGTACCAGGTGACTGCCCGGAACATCCTGAATGTTATACTTGATCGATACAGATAGCCAGGTAACCTACTTAACAGGTGACCCACAGGTGCTGAGCCTGCCATGTTACCATGAACGTAAACCATAGTAATAATTGTACCATTTCCTCCTAATAACAGACCACGTATCACCGCTGCTTCCACTGACTCGCGTGGTGGAAATATAAGAAATAATGGTATAGTGGAATATAAGATGTTGATAAGGCTTCAGAACCAAGACTATATCATGACCCCGTGTACATGCGTGTCAAGGCCCCGTGTACATGCGTGCCAAGGCCCCGTGTACATGCATGTCAAGGCCCCGTGTACATGCGTGTCAAGGCCCCGTGTACAGTGTATCATCTACAACTACATAACTCGACATCGACAAGAGTCAAAATATTCATACTTGACATGATATCACCACAACTACATATTGAGACCTCATTTGCTTTTGGGGTCAAGGTCAGGGTTCAGAATCAAGGTCAAGGGTCAGGGTCAAAGGTTAAGGTCAGTAGTTTGAACGAGACAAATAAACACTGGGCGCCGGTGGTAGAACGGTACCGCTTTCCTCCCAAGCGAGATGTCACGGGTTCGATTCCCGGGCCGGTGGAAGTTGTTTGGACTTACTTCCTGGCCCCCATTAGTCCCTGTTCACCTAGCAGTAAAGTAGGTACCTGGTGTAAGTCGAAAGTTGTGAATTCGTATTCAGGGAAAGTTGTTGGAGCTTCCAATAACTTGATGACATAAACCACTGACTCTTCAGGCTTCTACGCCCTTAACTCATGAGACATAAAGGCAAGCATGAACTTAGCATGCTTCCCTGTTGGACGCTGTAAACGCTTCTGCGCTTCACCTTACACAGGATGTAGGGGAGTGCCCAATAAATAAATAAACACTCTACTTATGCTATATTTTACTATAACACAGTCTTTAGTATGTTCAACAGATATATTAATAACCTTTTACATTTATTATCACATTTCCCTATATAGAGATGATCTTTACATGCTCTCTGTTATTCTTCTGATACTCTTTACTCTATCATTTATTACCCAGTACATTATTATCACCCATTCTATTACATCTTTCCATCTTTACTTTTTGCTCATGACTTTGCTCCCTTCACCTGTCCCCAGCTTACTTCGTTTCTGCCGTCTATTTAAATTCATATCAATCACATAGTTTGAGTTATACGCATCTAAACATCCCATACTGTTGTTGATATACGCCTCAAACACCAGGCCTAAGATGGTAACTGAGGACTCTAAGGACACTATCACCAACGGCATTAGTCCAGGGAGGAAATTTATCAGCAACGGCCTCGGCAGACACACTAAGGTCGACGTCCAGCCCATAAACGGGTGAGTTATGCTTTCACTTGTCACCACCAGGAGTTATTTTGTTACTTATCATGGGTTACTTTGTTACTTATGATGGGTTACTTTGTTACTTGTTATCATCTGTATATCTCTGGTGATGAGTAAGGGTATTAGTACACCTAAACCTGTATATCTTTATGAGTTTCCACAGGTATGAATCAGACACAACGGAGCTCGTGAAGACAAGTGAGGACAACAATGATGACAAGGAAGAACAAGAGACGAAGGAGGAGGAGAAGGACAAGGAGAAGAAGCTGCCCCCAGTCCCTGTGTTCCAAATGGTAAGTTCTCGAACCTTTCATGACAACGATTCATACATTAATTTACATCTTATCGCGTAATATATCGTATTATCTTCTACCACAGTTCAGGTACAGTACTGCGTCAGAGAGGTTCTTGATGGTGATCGGGGTGCTGGCGGCCGTGCTGGCGGGGGGTTGTATGCCAGCCATGTTTATCCTCTTTGGGAGGATCGCTAATGCCTTCGTGTACAGAGAGATCACCTCCAAACTCGACGCAGCAAACGTCACCGAGTTGTGGCAGACCATCCTCAAAGAGAACCCTCAGTATGCCAACCACAGCATGGAGAAGTGAGTATCTCTCTGTCCTGATTGTTGATGTGAGTATTGTATTATATCTTAACCTGACTTAACCTAAATGAGTACCATTAACACTAGGAACAATTAGAAATAAGACCCCGTTGACCAGTTAAGGTTACGTGAGGGGGGGGGGGTTACCTACCTCAGTTCAAAGGACGTATAATAACATGTGTGACCGTCCTATGCTGAGCCAAGCCACTGTGTACACCTGTAGGGTCCTGCAGCAGATGGAGGAGGTGTATGGCGGGAACGGAGACTTCATCGGGGAGGTGGTCACGTTCGGGGTGGGCACCATCATCGTGGGCGTGATCCAGCTGCTGGCGGGTTACATCCTCGTCGCCGCCATGAACTACGCTGCGGAGGGCCAGGTAACTAATGAGCTCGTACACACATACACACACACCCCCTAACACACACACACACACACACACACCTAACACCCCCTAACACACACACACCCACACACCCTTACACACACACATTTTTTGTCAGTACCATATATACTTTACTTACCCTGAACTATGAAACAACATTACGTGATAATAACATTAATGCCTCGTATGTAAACACAGGTGTACAGGTTGAGGGGGAGGTTCCTACACAGTATCCTCAGGCAGGAGATCGGATGGTTCGATACCCACAAGACCAACGACTTTGCGAGCCGAGTAACCGAGTAAGTCCACAGCCTGGTCACAACGCCACTGACCGACTCACAACGCCCATCTTTTGTTTTGATTTTATATTGAATAAATAACGATGAATCACTTACTCATGAACCAACACAATGACTCATTCACCCAGGGACCTGAGCAAGATGCAGGAGGGGATGGGAGAGAAGATCGGGTTGTACATCTTCTTCATGGTCAACTTCCTCTCCTCGGTGATCAACGCCTTCGTCCACGGTTGGGAGTTGACGCTTATTATTCTCACCGTGTTCCCGGTCCTCGGTCTAACCACTGGTCTCATAGCTAAGGTGAAGTGTCCCTGGTTCAAGCTTGGTATAAGGGGAGGTGAGGGTATTGTGCGTGTGTGTGTGTGTGTCTGTGTGTGTGTGTCTGTGTGTGCGAGAGAGAGGATATAGTTTAGGTCATTCATGAACTAACATACAGTTTTCATCACAAGTTAAATCATGTTTCAGATACAAGCTAACCTGTCGACGGTGGAGATGGAGGAGTACGCGAGGGCTGGCAGTGTAGCGGAGGAGGTGATCTCTGCCATCAGGACTGTGGTGGCCTTCGGTGGCGAGCAGAAGGAGACGGAAAGGTAATGATGAGGTGCTGGGAGACTCGTGTTATCCTCTCTGATAGTACGCACACACCCTCCCCTGGTCAGCGTGTCCGTACATCTCTCTGTCTGTAGGTATGACGCTAACCTGGTACACGCCCGCAAGGCAGGTGAGAAGCGCGGGCTGGTGGGCGGCGCGGGTCTGGCTGTCATGTGGTTCATCATCTATGCCGCCTACTCCCTGGCCTTCTACTACGGCACTGGCCTCATCCTTGAGTCGAGACCTCCTGAGGGTGACGGATCCTTTGACCCCGGGCGACTCTTAATTGTAGGTAGATAACTCGCCTTGTGGAGGGAGGAGGAGGTGACGTGTACATTGGAATAATACACATAATTGCAATCTTAGTTAACTTCCTACTTACTTCTTGACTCTGTGTTTACTCCAAGATCTATGGTAAGTTGGTACATCCTGATGCAGCTGTGTGTATGTTACGTACAGGTGTTCTTCAGCGTGTTGATGGGAGCCATGACAGTGGGTCAGGCGGCGCCCTATATGGAGGCCTTCAGTGTGGCCAGGGGAGCAGCGGCCACCATCTTCGACATCGTGGAGCGAGAGTCAACCATTGACCCCAGCAGCACCCTGGGACACACGCCAGCTACCATCAGGGGAACCATCGGTAGGAGGAGTTATTGTTTGAAGAATACGACGAGTACATTTAGGTTATTTCAGTCACCTGGCAGCCATACTTTACCCTCACCTTAGTGGGGTGAACAGGTCGGTACAGAAGTCACACAAATAACTACTGTCCTTAATTCATAGTGCGTAAAGAAAGTTAAAATGTGTACTTTAAAAAAATAACCCATTTTCATGTTACAAGGAAATTCTCCCTTAATTCTCTTTACTGTTGAGAAATTCTCAGTTTGAGAATTTAGCAAGGCAATTTCCCTGTTTAGTCTGGCAACAGATGACAATGTAAGTTGCTTTCAGTTTGCTTCTGATCTAATTTATGAGCTGAACCCTGATCCATCACAGGAGTCTTGGACTAACTAACGTGTCCACAAAATAACTAGATTAAGGCGTCCGTTTCATCTCAAGGACACACCACACACACACATCATAGATAAATGGCCTTATTGGCAGTGTTCCAGGATGTCTACTTCAACTATCCTTCCCGGCCCGACGTGGAGGTCCTGAAGGGCGTGAGTCTGCTGGTAGAGCCGGGGCAGACGGTGGCGCTGGTGGGGTCCTCGGGCTGCGGCAAGTCCACTTGTGTCCAGCTGGTACAACGCTTCTACGACCCTCTTAGTGGAGACGTAAGACAAACACCGTCACCAGAGATCTTTCTTATCGTAAGATCTTTGAAATAGTTGAATGTTCAAGTTTTCTTGTGTCCACTGATCAGCGAGTGTGACTTTGTCTTCGTTATCCTTTGTCACCTGAGCCATTCAGCACAACAACGAGAATCATAAGTCACTGCCTTTATGTTATGTATTGCGTTACAATGCCTATCTATATGTATGACATTATGTGTACAGGTGCTAATGAGGTGCTGGGTTTGTGTACACAGGTGTTGCTGGACGGGCAGCCCATCAGAGAGCTGAACCTGGGGTGGGTGAGGGACCAGGTGGGGGTGGTGGGGCAGGAGCCGGTGCTCTTCGCCACCTCCATCGCCGAGAACATCCGCTACGGCAAGGAGGACGCCTCCATGATGCAGGTTCAGCAGGCCGCCAAGGAGGCCAACGCCCACGACTTCATCATGAGGCTCCCCAAGGTGGGTTTCAGGATTCGTCTCAGTAACCTAACCTATCCTAACCTAACCTTTCCTAACCTAACCTTTCCTAACCTAACCTTTCCTAACCTAACCTTTCCTAACCTAACCTTTCCTAACCTAACCCCCAGGTAGCATGAGGGGGAGGTCAATCTTCAGGTGCCCCCATCTTGTTCTGTTCTAAATAAAGTTTTGATCATTTGCCAGAAATACGAGACCCATGTGGGGGAGCGGGGCGCCCAGATGTCAGGAGGACAGAAGCAACGCATAGCCATCGCCCGTGCGTTAGTGCGTCAGCCGCGGATCTTACTGCTGGACGAAGCCACGTCTGCTCTAGACAACCAGAGCGAGGCAGTAGTACAGCAGGCCCTAGACAAGGTCAGTACCCTTACTACACGTCAACACCCTTACTACACGTCAACACCCTTACTATACGTCAACACCCTTACTACACGTCAACACCCTTACTACACGTCAACACCCTTACTACACGTCAACACCCTTACTACACGTCAACACCCTTACTACACGTCAACACCCTTACTACACGTCAACACACGTCAACACCCTTACTACACGTCAACACCCTTACTACACGTCAACACCCTTACTACACGTCAACACCCTTACTACACGTCAACACCCTTACTACACGTCAACTTCCTTACTACACGTCAACACCCTTACTACACGTCAACACCCTTACTACACGTCAACACCCTTACTACACGTCAGCACCCTTACTACACGTCAACACCCTTACTACACGTCAACACCCTTACTATACATCATCATACACAAAGGATTAAGTTATCATACACTATAATAACTCCTTCTATCACACCCACTGGCTCAGGTTCGACTCGGACGCACTACCATCATCGTCGCCCACCGCCTCACCACTATCAAGACGGCTGACAAGATCGTGGCGTTTGATCAGGGTAAAGTAGTGGAGGTGGGGACTCACGATGAACTGATGGAGAAGGAAGGACTCTACTATAACCTGGTGACGGCACAACTCGACCCAAAGGAACTGAGTAACGAGAAGGGTGAGAAACTGTATGTGTGAAATTTTACCCTATATTTTTTTGTGTTGTCTTTATGTATGAAAATTTTGTCTCTTTTTCGTGATTATTATTTTAAGTAGTGGTAGTAGTAGTAGTAGTAGTAGTCCTAGTAGAGATAATAGTAGTAGCAGTAGACGACAGTAATACAGCGCTCCACCACTCACCAGGTACCGAAGAGGAGGCGCCAACACAGCCGACGGAGACAGAGAGAGAGGAGAAGGAGGAGGAGAACAATGTGTTGTCGAAGATCTACCAAGAGATTACTGAAGACCTCATCACCAATTCCCCTGTGCCAGTGCCTCGTAGTCCCACCGTCAGGCACTTCCTCAGTAACCACCGTCAGCTCTCCTCCAAGTCCCTAGATAATAAAGTTAGTGTTTACAAGAGTATCAAGTGAGGTTTGTTCTCAGGTGTGTGTGTGGGGACTTATAGTGTTTTGTTTATCTCTGTCGTCTGCAATGATAGTGGCTTCAGATTATTATTATTATTATTATTTATTCCATTATTATGAGCCATTAATGCCATTCCTCAACATCTTTAATCTCTCTCTCTCTTATTGTTTCTCCTTCAGGGTGAGGGAGAGGAGGAGTCGATTGATGTTCCCATAACCAAGATCCTTCAGATGAACTCGTCAGAATGGCCCTTCATCCTGCTGGGTGTCGTGTGCTCCGCTCTTCAGGGTACCTCCATGCCTCTCTTCGCTATCCTCTTCGGCGACGTCCTAGGGGTGAGTCCTGGGGTGTATAGGGTGTTGCTAGGGTGACTCCTGGGATGTAGAGTGTTGCTAGGGTGACTCCTGGGATGTAGTGTGTTGCTAGGGTGACTCCTGGGATGTAGAGTGTTGCTAGGGTGACTCCTGGGATGTAGTGTGTTGCTAGGGTGACTCCTGGGATGTAGTGTGTTGCTAGGGTGACTCCTGGGATGTAGGGTGACTCCTGGGATGTAGAGTGTTGCTAGGTGACTCCTGACTCCTGGGATGTAGAGTGTTGCTAGGGTGACTCCTGGGATGTAGAGTGTTGCTAGGGTGACCTGGGTGTAGTGTGTTTCTGACTCCTGAGAGGGTGACTCCTAGAGTGTTGCTAGGGTGACTCCTGGGATGTAGTGTGTTGCTAAGGTGACTCCTGGGATGTAGAGTGTTGCTAGGGTGACTCCTGGGATGTAGAGTGTTGCTAGGGTGACTCCTGGGATGTAGAGTGTTGCTAGGGTGACTCCTGGGATGTAGTGTGTTTCTAAGGTGACTCCTGGGATGTAGAGTGTTGCTAGGGTGACTCCTGGGATGTAGAGTGTTGCTAGGGTGACTCCTGGGATGTGTTTACATAATCATATAAGAACAATTCATTATATAACTTACATAGTGTTTAAATATACTTTGTTTTATATATCACGAATTTCACTGCCTCTTCCTACAGACACTCTCAATAGCCCGGGCAGACGAGGCGAGGAGAGAGGCCAACTTCTATTCCCTGCTGTTCCTTCTCCTCGGTATGGGGATAGCCGTAGCCTCGTTCTTACAGGTAGGTCAGCTGGTTACACTCTCTATCTCTCTCTTCCTTTCTCTGTGTCTCTCCATTTCTCTCTGTATTTCTCCCTCTTTCTCAGTATCTGTCTCCCTTTTTCTATAACTCTCTCCCCCTCTCTCTCTCTGTATGTCTCTTTCTCTTTCTGTATCTCTACCTCATTCTCGTCTCTCTCCCTCTCTTTATCCTTCCCTCTTTCTCTCTCTCTCTGTACCTCTCTCACTATCAACAGGTGTGTGTGTGTGTGTGTGTGTCTTGTCAATATCAGAGTACAGTATATTCTCCCCGTCTTCACCAACAGGTATATATGTTCTCACTGTCTGGGGAAATCCTGACGGCAAGACTTCGCAAAATGACCTTCGCCGCCATGCTTCGTCAGGAGATAGCCTGGTTTGACAAAGAAAGGAACTCTGTAGGTGCCTTGTGTTCACGTCTCTCAGGGGACACTTCTGCTGTACAAGGGGTGAGTAGGTGGCGTAGAGGGTGTGTAGGTGGTGTAGAGGGTGGTGTAGAGGAGTGGACAAGTGCAGGTTAAAACATAAACCATCGTTCTGAAAGTGTTTTAATTTGAAGTATCGTCTTTATAGAACTAACTCAGTTATTCCCCTCATGTTCTAGGCTACAGGATCCCGGGTTGGTACGATCGTTCAGTCCGTGACCATGCTGGGTATCGGTGTGGGCTTGGCTCTTTACTATGACTGGCGCCTTGGTCTGGTCACCCTCCCTTTCGTACCCTTTGTCCTCACCGCCGTCTACCTCCAATCTAAGATACTCACCGGCCAGAATGTCACTGAGTCAAAGACCTTGGATGAAGCGGGCAAGGTGAGTCTGTGTGTGTGTGTGTAATAATAATAAAATAAGAATAATAATAAAAGGTCTATTGAAAAAGTTTGCAGCCCGAAGGCTGAAAATATACATTGGACATAAATGACTTATTACATACATTGGTGGTTTAACAAAAACCTTCATTAGTGTAAGGTAAAGGAACGTACAGTGAACATACAGATTAATGTTTACACACGTAGACCATGTGAGCTGAGGTATTGAACAGCAGACACGTAGTGTAGTAATTCCCTCACAGATGGCGTTACGAGGGGCCTGATGATGTAGTAATTTCCTCACAGATGGTGTTATGAGGGGCATCACGTGGTGTAGTCATTCCCTCACAGATGGTGTTACGAGGGGCCTGATGATGTAGTAATTTCCTCACAGATGGTGTTATGAGGGGCATCACGTGGTGTAGTCATTCCCTCACAGATGGTGTTATGAGGGGCCTCACATGATGCTGTAGCAACTCATTCACTACGTGTGTGTGTGTGTGTGTGTGTGTGTGTGTGTGTGTGTGTGTGTCAGGAGAGACATGAATTATCACATACGTATCAAATGATGTGTATATCCCCTATGTGGCCACCCATGATCTATGTGGCCACCCGTGATCTATGTGGCCACCCGTGATCTATGTGGCCACCCATGATCTATGTGGCCACCCGTGATCTATGTGGCCACCCATTATCTATGTGGCCACCCGTGATCTATGTGGCCACCCGTGATCTATGTGGCCACCCGTGATCTATGTGGCCACCCGTGATCTATGTGGCCACCTGTGATCTATGTGGCCACCCATGACCTTATGCTCCTGGTCTCCAGCTAGCGGTCGAAGCCATCACCAACATCCGGACAGTGGCGTCGCTGCATAAGGAGGAACACTTTGCCCAGCAGTACTCCCAGGTGCTCTACAGCCCCTACAGGCAGGCGCTGAAGAAGTCACACGTCAGAGGTACTGTTAGCTTCTGTGTGTGATCCTGACGTGTTCATTTAGTGACTAGTTTAACCCTTTGAGGACGATAGTTTACCCCTTTAAGGACGATGGCTTAACCCTTTGAGGACCAATGTTTAACCCTTTGAGAACTATGGTTTAACCCCTTAAGGACGATGCTTTAACCCTCCAAGAATCAAAGGGTTAAACAGGTCTACAGTTCTTATAGGTGGGGCAGATAATATCCCAACACCTTGACTGATATTAACCTAAAAGTTCGCGTATAAATATTATAAGAATGTTGGGGTAGAAGAGGCTGTTTATATTATAACAAAATAAATATGTTTTCTTTTACTTGTAATTACCTGGTTGAGAGGAGAGGTGTAAGGACTTATTTGACACACTTATTCGACTCTTGCTCGATCGACACACTGGTTCGACTCTCTACCTCAACTGAAAAGGACCCTCATTCGACACTCTCTATACTCAACAGGCGTGACCTTCGGCATAGCTCAGGCCGTCCCGTACTTCGCCTACGCCGCCACCATGCTCTACGGAGGCTACCAGGTGGACAGGGGTCAACTGAGTTACCAGAGCGTCTTCAAGTAAGGGCGAGTGAATGAGTGAATGGATCTGTGTGTGTATGTGTGTGTGTACGTCTGATGTGTGTGTGTGTGTGTGTGTGTGTGTTTGTTGAGCTATACGCATTGAACATTACTACACCCATTACCGAGAGCGCATTGTTTACCTCAGAGTAGCTGAGGCGATGATCCTAGGCACGAGTATGGTGGGCCAGACAGTGGCTTTCGCTCCTAACTACACCAAGGCCAAGGTAGCGGCTGGCAAGATCTTCTCACTGCTAGAGCGGGTCCCTGCCCTCACCACCTCCCCAGACGTCGGACGCCAGCTGGTGGGTCCTGGGTTATGTGAAGCTGTGTCGTTGTTTAGTCTGTTGGTGAGGTCTCTTCCATACGAGCGTCTTTTGTTTTATGTTTTCGTCGCGCAAGACAAAAACCTCTCGTGTGAAAGAGGTCTTATAGTAAACGTAAGATAGTTGGTTGGTTCTTTGGGTGATTAAATTAAGAGAAGTGACACAAAATTCCTCGTCAATATACTTATAAACATTATAAAAATAACTTTGAATAAATATTGGGTCAAATCTTTCTCCCGCATTCTTATTTAAATACTTTGTTACCTATTTAAGTTACCTGAGACACTAATGTTACTCCTTTACTCACATTTAGACTGACGGAGTGAAAGGCATCCAGCTCTCTGACGTCCATTTTACGTACCCGAGCCGTCCCGACGTGGCTATCCTCAGCGGCCTGGATGTGAGTGTGGGGAAGGGACAGACACTCGCTCTAGTAGGCAGCTCTGGGTGTGGCAAGTCGACCATTATCTCACTCCTAGAGAGATTCTATGACGCTAAGGCTGGCAAAATGGTGAGTGAATGTAGAGGTGGTTTTGTGCTGTGTGGTGAGGATTGTTATTGTTTTATGTATATCGGTGCTTCAATAACTAAGGTCTTTAATGATGTACGCTAAGTAGGTTTATATACAAGACAGCAATAACTGTTAGGATTATATTATAATAGGGTTTCATTCTTGTGATGAGATTTAACGTGGAAGAAGACTTTTTTTTGCTATTTTATGTTGTTTTTAGTGACTATTTTCCTCTCGTCCTTCTCACTTTATTTTTGTCTCCTCCACCCTTGTCTCTCCCTTCCCACTTCTATCTTTATCTCCCACACTTCATCTCCTCACCGTGACGTCGTGCCCCTTCAGATCATCAACGGAGAGGACCTGAAGAGCCTAAACGTGGGGTGGGTGAGGAGTCAGCTGGGTCTAGTGTCTCAGGAGCCAGTTCTCTTCGACCGCACCATCGCCGAGAACATCGCTTACGGAGACAACAGTCGATTTGTGAATCACGATCAAATTGTCTCGGCTGCCCAACAAGCAAACATCCATTCCTTCGTTGAGTCTCTCCCGGATGTGAGTTGTGTGTCTATTGTGACTTAAGTAAATGACAAACTAACACTACAGTAACTTTTCATAATAATTGTCTCACTCTCTTATAAGTTCTGTACTGTTACTGTTGTTTCAAGTGTTCGGTCCTTCACCCAGCAGCCATTACAACGAACTTATTAAAGTAATGACGATCAATAACTGGTCATTTAGCTGCGCCAAACCTTACTAGGAACTAAAGATCCTCACGCTCTGAAAACATGAGCAGGTAGGTCAGGAATGGCAGGAATTTGGAGGAGTAAACAAGTTGGGTGAGTGAAGGCGGACTAGCCCAGTACCGGCTATGTTGTTTTCCTGTGTATTGAAGGCCTAGTACACAGCGTTCTGTATCCACGATGTCCCTATGAGGCCCACCTTCCCTTCTTCAGGGTTACGAGACGCGTGTGGGAGCTAAAGGGACACAGCTCTCGGGCGGGCAGAAACAGAGGATAGCCATCGCCCGCGCCCTAGTCAGGAACCCCAGTGTGTTGCTCCTGGACGAGGCCACCTCCGCCCTCGACACTGAGAGCGAGAAGGTAACCATCTGTCTGTCTCTATTTTTCTTCTTATATTTTTATTTCTTCAGGTACAACTGGTGTGTGTGTGTGTGTGTGTGTGTGTGTGTGTGTGTGTGTGTGTGTGTGCCGCTACACTCATGTACTGAAGTACAGTAGGTGTGAGTGCTGTAGGTGTACTGTGGAAGGTATTGATCAGTATCACGACTCACAGGTGACAGGGGGTAATTGAGAGCTTCACCTGACTTAGTCCACACCTACTCACTGAGGAATCTTTAAGTACACGATATAAAGGAAGAATTTATGTGAACAGGTAAATATCCCCTTTCTTCAACTGGTGTACTAATATGTGTGTGTGTGTGTGTGTACAGGTGGTGCAGGAGGCGTTGGAGAAGGCACAGGAGGGACGCACCAGTATCGTGATCGCCCACCGCCTCTCCACCGTCCAGGGAGCTGACACCATTGCCGTGGTACAGGGAGGGAAGGTGGTAGAGTCTGGCACACACGCTACTCTACTGCAGCTTCAAGGACACTACCACTCCCTCTACCAGACCACCAACTGAATGTTTTATGTGTATACTAGGTAAATACTTATATAAACACACAGTCATATTACACACACACACACACACACACACACACACACACACACACACACACACAATTACTGACAACCTCAATGAATCCTAATAATAGATACTGCCCGAGTCATAATCACACAATCATCATAAAAAGTCACATCTCGTTTGTGGGCAGCAGCAGCGGGCGACCAAAGCGCCGCCCGAGTCACTCACTCTTGCAGCAATGGAAGATGTTTACGAAATTGACCATGTGAAACTGTCAGGTTATCAATATTTTCTTCTGTGCTCTTATTTATTTACCAATCTGTTAACTATCTGATTGAGAATATCTATTTATAATTCCGGATAAATCAGAAGTACAACTTAACAAAAACCCAGACCTACATAAGACCCCCCCCATGCTCTCCTCTCAATCCCAGACCTTCATAAAATATCACGGTGTGAAGGTGTGGGACAACTTACCACCACCCATTCAAGGAAAACTACACCCCCTTTTCTGAAATCACCCCCTGAAATGTTTGTATCGCCCCCATAAGAACATAAGAATGGAGGAAACTGCAGCGGGCCTATTGACCCATACTGGGCAGTCCCGTTTACACCCAACCCCTAGTGCTCATATAAGCATCCAACCTATGTTTGAAGCTATTCAGAGTATTCCAGTTAATGATGATATTTGGTAACTTGTTCAGCTCATCCACTACTCTGTTTCCAAACCAGTGTTTACCTATTTCAGGCAGAAATCTAAATTTGTCTAATTTAAAACCATTGTTACCGGTTCGCTCCTGGTTGGATAGTTTGAGTACCTTTGTAATGTCCCCTTTGTTTAACCCTGACTTCCATTTATGCACCTCTATCAGGTCGCCCCTCACTCTACGTCTCTGGAGGGAGTGCAAATTAAGATGCTTTAACCTGTCTCTGTATTCAAGGTTCCTAATGCCCGGGATTAGTCTTGTCATTCTCCTCTGGATTCTTTCCAATGATTCTATATCCATTCTGTAATACGGTGACCAGAACTGAACTGCGTAATCCAGGTGAGGTCTCACAAGCGCTAGATATAATTTTAAGATGACCTCTCTAGTCTTGTAACTAACATTCCTTTGTATGAACCCAAGTACTTTATTAGCCTTGTTACGAGCAAAAACACATTGTTTACTTGGCTTAAGATTCCTACTTATCATTACTCCTAAATCTCTCTCGCAGTTGGATTCCACAATGGCATCGTTGTTCATCTGGTAACTGGTTTCCCTGTTTACATCTCCTATACTGAGTACTTTACATTTGTCCACATTGAATTTCATCTGCCATTTTTCAGACCAGTATGGAACAATTTGTAATCCGCAATTTGGTATTCGACCGGTAACTCACGTGAGTCTAGGTTGATCCATGTTTCAGTGAATGCTATTATATCGATTTTTTCGGTACATACCAAGGCCCTAATATCATCCATTTTGTTTCTCATGCTTCTACTGTTCGCGTAGTAGACATTTAAGTTAATCGTGTTCTGAGTCCTCCCTTTACCGCGTTTAGGTTTAAATTCCCTGTCTAATTTAGTTTTGTCATCGTTAGCTACATTACCACCAACAATGATTATTTTACCATCACGTGATCCTGAGTCAGACTACTGTACATAAATAGCTCTATACTAAAAAAATAAACAAAAATGAAAAATATTAAAAAACAACGATTTACAAGATACAAAAATGTGATAACTCTTAATAAGTATTTCCTAACATTATGTAACATGGCGTAACTCAGATTATACTAAATGTTATACAATAATAATCTTAAGATCAATGTATAGTATTTATTAAGTAGAGCACCTCGGGTTCTTAACCGGCTCAATATTGTTGTTGTTGTTCACTTTGTATTTTTCTGGCTAAATAAACGGTTACAATTTAAATTTCTATAACTTCCAGTATATATCGTCTGAATACGTCTTAAAATGTAGTATAGCTTAGTTCTCTATATAGTCGATATATGTATATATAAAGAAAACTACGAATATTTTCTTAAAACATCAGTTCGATATGTGTACGTACTTATATTTTTTTCCCCAAGAAACGCGATTCTTTAGTGTCTGAACGAAATAAACTGATAATTTAATACTAAATGAACTTTTATTTCCCTAAACTAACTAGTGTCAACCATATACTGTGATGACTGAAGCTGTGTGTAATGTTTGTCTAGTCGTTATAGTTTATACCACCTGGGAAACCATTCACCCACCGCCAATTTATTTTCACTGCAGAACGAGACGAGTGACGGTGATCCCTCCCTCCCTCCCTCCCTCCCTCAGAATCACCAACTATTTAGGTTTTTCTTACCTTCAGCAGAGTCCATCTTAGTGTTGTTGTCCTTACCGTCCGTCACTTTCGTCCTCCAGAAGACAAGATGAGTTTGTGCACCTAACTATAGTTCAATTTTCTTAATCACCAGTTCCGTCACACCGTTCTTGACCATTTTTCACTGTTCAGGAGGAGTTATGTCTACCCTAGACTGTCCCAGCCATGTCCCCAGAGATACACACACAGCTGCTCCACGTTAAGGACACAATAACCTACTTGTACGCTAAGTCTGTTAACCCGGGAGGTCACTGGGGCCGCGTAACCCTCGCCCGGACCAAGCTGAGAACTGTGAACCGTCTATGACTATTAGGCTTATTAGCCGCTGCATCTTAGCGAGAAATACAAATATAAAGGAGAATAAATATTACCTTCTGTTAACTAATGCACTGAAGAAGACTAAATAAGTAGAATGATGCCTTGAGTTATTACCAGTGTGATCGTAGGTTACCAAGGCGTCTATTTCACGGTGTTATATAAGAACTTGTACTTTATCACTACGCTTCAACAGTTCAACGTGTATTCTCTCGACCAGTAAATAACACCAATCCCTAATAATTGATATTTAACATAAAATTCTTCTTGTAGTGTGTTAACTTTGTGTTTTGATTATGAAGCAGTGGATCATAAACAATGTGTAACTCATGAGACATAAAGGCAAGCATGAACTTAGCATGCTTCCCTGTTGGGCACTGTAAACGCTTCTGCGCTTCACCTTACACAAGGATGTAGGGGAGTGCCCAATAAATTATAATAAATAAATAATGTGTCAGTAAGCAAGTAATCTCTCTATCAAAGTCACTTTCACTCGCTCCATGGAAATCAATCATCCAAAAAACAATATAAATTCCAATATTTTATTCCGAGATTACACAAATCGTTTACCAAGTGAGAAAAAGATCTAGTATAATAATTAAACTTCAACAAATGCTAAAACTTTGTACCAATACAGGATATATAGGTTCAGATTCTACAGCGTCCGTACTTACCGTTATTATTCGGACTTACTTTTTAAGTTTTTGTATAGTTTCTCTCGTAGTAAGAAGAAACAAGAAAGGGAAGAAGGAAGATTATGGAGAAAGATGATTTCAGAAGACTAATGAGAAAGAGGAGACTGTGGAGAGCAAGAGATGTATGGACAGATGAAAGAATACACCTATATTCGTATACACGGCAACAACAGCCACAAGGTGAAGGGGTCACCACTAAATAATTGTCCATCGGCCCCTTCACAAGCAAATACCTCAGCAAGAAAATTACACAATAAACTTTATTTCGTTGTATGTGCGACATAACTGATACATTGTAAAGCGTTAACAACAAGCCGAGTTAAGATGAACGAGAGGACCAAGTTACTGCAGGACCTAAGACAAGAAGTTTTAACCTTTTTTTGTGTGTGACTTCTTTAACAGTGATTACGTCAGAGGTTCGGTGTTGTGCTTACCTCATCTGTATGTCAAACACCATTAGTTTTTGCTTCATGATGGCATTATAAAAAACTAACAAACATAAGTTGTGAAAAGTTCACTGTAGTGGTTCTCCGAGATCGTTCGAATACTCCAGCCCAGCCCAGCCCAGCCCTCCCCTCCCTCCTACACGGTCCTCAGCGTTACAGTATGCCTGTCTAACAAGTACCAATAAATAAGCCGTCTCTCCTGCAAGGTGGATAATACATAGTCTCCTTGTCATTCCGTTATCAATATTTTTGTTTTTTCTATATTCTCTGCATCAGGTATGTAGTAGAGGTGGTGCCACGGGAAGAGACCAAAAATAAACCGTCTGGGTCGTAGCGTAGCACATTTAAGAGAACTCGGGTGAATCGTTTCATTGAATTCTGCTATACTGAAATTAATCCGACAGCAGAACTGAACCTACTAAGCGTGATGTAAAAAGGGTTAAGTTCAGGGTTACTCAGTTGACTTTTCTTTACGTTGTGCTACGTCTTAAGTGACTTCTGGTGTCAAGAGTTTGTTTGTGGTCCCTTCCGTGCCCGGGGCTGACCACACTGCTGGCAGGGTGGGCAGCTCGACCGCCACACCCCTGTTCTCAACAATAACTCTGTGTGTTGTGTTGTGTTGTGTGTGTGTGAGCGTGTCTCCGCTCCTTTAAGACTTATCATCACCAACCACAAATTCTATTACACTCAAAAACCGCAGTGGAATCCCTTTAGTGAGTGTATTTAATATCTGTCGTCAAATATTATTACCACGTATGATAACCGGCATCAATCTACCTATACAGAAACTACATGTAAAACTATATTGTTTATAAGTTAAGATTAAACATCGATACAATTCTATAAGATATGCAATCGAGTGAATTCTTACTTTGGTTAATATCGTAAGAATATTCCATGGCAGTGACCCGAGCGTGTAATAGTATTTGGTGTTGCTTTGTCTTCCAGTCTTTCTGAGCATCATAGTCCAGAGCTGAGGTTGGGATCAGGGTAAGAGCGGCGGTCGTGTGTACATGGCCTGCCTTGCTACACACCCACAACCTTCACCTGATATAATATGGATAGGATAATGTCGGCCCAGATGTTTGTTCAGGTACACATAGGTCGACAGAGTTAATATTGACGCTAAAGAAAAATGAATGCAAAGTCTGGTAAAGAAAGAGACGATGCTTTAATCTCTAACTCTGAAATAGTGTGAATACAACTGACTAAAATGTCATCATAGTTCTTAGGGATGTTGAGGACGATGCTGTTGAGGTGGAGTCAGGTGTAGAGGTTGCGGGCAGCAGACACGAGGTGGGGGGTGGGGGGCAGGTCTGCAGGGTGCTGGAGGGCGCTGCTCCTTTAGTACTGATGCAGGTTGTCCATAAAGTTGGCGGCCACTGCCTGTCCCAGTTCTCCCAGACGCTGACTTATCACCTTCCTGAGGCAACAAAATGTTTCGTTATTATTTGTTTTCAACATTTTGTATTTCACGGTACATGAAGTTACATTATGACGTTAGTATTTACAGTATGTTTAGTTTTTTGTAGAGATTTGTGTGGCAGGTAAGCGTCACCCTCTATTTTGTCGACATAAACAGCGTGTGGAGGTTAACATGATGCTCTGTCCATAGTAGGTCGTCTACAATTACACCAAACATTAGGTGTCCGGTGAAAGAGTTCGGGATAAAATTCCAAAGTAGTAAATATATTTTTTTTTAATATTCCTTCTAAGGAATTTCAAGAAGTATCAACAACAACGTGGGTTTAATCACACACCTGGTAACTGCTTTTATAGAAGTGTTCACCCGGGGAATTTACCTTAATTACCTGGTGTACGTGACGAGGTATGTGTTCCCCTGGTGTAGGTGACGGGGAACAGGACCCACCTGGTATTGAGAGGTGACTCCTGTACGTGCTGCTGGGCATCCTGGAACTCGGGGGCCGCCACACCGCCACACTGAAGAGACTTAAAGTTATGGACGGAGTTCTCGTTGTACTGGCCCCAGATACTGTTCATCAACTTGCTGCTGTAACGCATTGGCTGCTCACCCCCTGTGTGTGTGTGAGAAAACGGGAAACATTATCATCACCGTGTTTGGTAGAGTCAGAAGTCGATTTAGAGGTGACATGAGCTCTATACACGAGGCTGGATGTATTCAATGGGTGTCCTTAACATTGACCATTTAATCTTGTCTTCAACTTTGACTACACAATCAGCATTAACCAGAAGAACGATAACTCTGACGTCAAGGCAGTTTAGTTATGAGTCAAGTCGAGTTATTCAATGTCAAGAAATCTTTATAAAAAACTAGTAATGACACGTCAAAAAAAATACATTCATTTTCATAACTGTATTCATCTGTAAAACAAAACCTGATTTATATAAAGATTTTAAACGTGACAAAGATGTTTACTCAATACCTAATGATTTCGGTTTACAGTTTTGTGTTGTTCGGTCTTTTCAGTCATTTGCATCACATTAAACTCTCTCTTCCCTCCTCATTTATTCTATCCTCCTTTTCATCCTTCCTCACCAATACTCATTTCCCTCCCTCTTCTCCCACCCTTCCTCACCAACACTACCCTCCTTCCTTCCCTCCCTCCCTCTTCTCCCACCCTTCCTCACCAACACTACCCTCCTTCCTTCCCTCCCTCCCTCTTCTCCCACCCTTCCTCACCAACACTACCTTCCTTCCTTCCCTCCCTCCCTCACCAATGGCATCCTCCCGTTTCTACTCACTCACCTGTCCTGTCGAAGTAAGAGTCGCGCGTGTTGTTGGTGAAGTGCTTCTGTTGACGCTGCGCCTTAGTCATCTGCAGTGTTTGTGGGATGGACGCCATGTTGTCTGTAAGGCGAAAACATTGATAACATTCAGATCCTGTAACCTCACCTCACTCCCCCCCCCTCCTCCCTCATTACACTGGGGGGAGATAGATAGATAAAGAGACAGACAGACAGATAAAGATAGATAGTTAAAGATATAGATAATGATAAATAGATAGACAGTGACAACGACAAACGGAATTAATGGAAAATAGAAAGACAGAGACGGATAAAGAGAAAGAATAAGAATAATCAAGGAATATATATACACATACAGTACAAGAAGGTTAAACAAATGAAGGAACAATACACAAGACTCGTCAGTGAACGTGTTTGGCTCGCTAAGTCCTTTGTGTTCAAGTCGGTGCAGTTAATATGTATACTAGGCTAGCTTTTTAATGTCTCAAGTGCATATGTTATCAAATCCACCAAGGCACGGCATCCATAGAGCAGTACACCACTACATACCTACAAAACATCTCTATTTTATATTTAGATTACTGTAGGGATAAATAGTTTGATTTTCTTCACCTTGGAGTGGATTGGAGGGGAATGTTTTTTTCCTGGGGCGGCTGGGTTGTATAAATAGTCAACCAGTGAGGTGAGGCAACAGACATTCGCAGACACATGAACCCCGGCGCGGAACTCCAGACAACAGTGACGTCAATTGAGTAATATTTCTATATATAAACACACGAAGCAAGTCGATATATTTATTTTATTTATTTATTTATTTTATTTTGTTCTTGGTGAAATTTATAATCGGAATTCACAGGGGTATTGACTAAGTATACAGCTTATTTTTTTTCAAGAGTCAGTTAAAGGTACAAGGTCACCAGAAATATAAGTCAACCAATTGTAATAATTCGCCAAGTATAATTATGTGGGTGATCTCTGAATCCTATACTGTGTCACCTGAATCAAACATATCTTACCTACAGTAGTAAGATGTTGTCTGAGGTGATTTGGCTTTTGACACACACACACACACACACACACACACACACACACACACACACACACACCTCTAAATATAGTCGCAGACACAGGTGTACACTGTCCCCAAAAATATCTTAACAGGGTCCAATGAATTCCATAATGAACACTGTTACTCCTGTTGTCTCGGTAAGGTTGTCAAAAGCCTTCGTCCGTTGCGTCAATTATTGTCTCGCCTAAAATCGTTATGATACTTCTTGGAGCGAGTTTACTGCACCTTTTTTTTTTTTTTTTAGGAATATTAAGGTTACCTGCTGATGGATCATGATTGCAGGTGAGAATCAGGAGATATATAAACAATTCTTGAAACACCGTAGTAAAAATAAGTTGTGGTAATCATGACCAATCACAAAACAGTTTGGCTCATAATAAGAAAACTAACCTATCACAAAACGAATAAGGTTCATTATAAAAAACTGACCAATCACGAAGTGAATATGGCTCATAAAAAACGACCAATCACAAAATAGATTAGGGTCATAATGAAAAAAAACCCCTACCAATCACAACACAAATTAACTCGGGCAAGATTGTTAACAAGAGCAGATTGTGAATAAGATAAACAAAGGCAAGTAAAGGTTGAATGATAAGGAGTTTCGACATCACAGAGTAAAAAAACAACAACCAGCTTTTGGTGCAATCAAGAGAAGGACCAATCAGAGCCTAGCATTATTTGGAAGAAGACCAATCAGAGCCGTGTGTAAGGCTGGGAACACTCGAGGTACACGTGCACAATACGAGTCAGACAGCTTGCTCCCTCGCCCAGCTTAGACAGCTTGCTCCATCGCCCAGCTTACCTGTTTACATCAATCAGTTTAAAAAAAAAAGAGGCGAGAGATTAATATTATAATAAGCTCTAGAGTGTGGTGGTGGTGGTGGTGGTGGTTGTTGTTATTGTTGTTGTTGGTCGTGATTGTGGTGATGGTAGTGGTTGGTGGTGATAGTGGTTAGTGTTAGTAGGGGTTGGTGTTGGCTGTGAAAGTTGGGGATGATGGTGGTAGTAGTGATGGTGGTTGGTGGTGATAGTGGTGTTGGTACTTGTAATAGTGGTAGTGATGGAGATATAATAATAATGTTGGGGAGAGCAGTAGTGATGGTGATAATGATGGAGAAAGAAAAACAATAATATAGATAACTCATACAAACACTCTGACGTCATCAATGTACAAACACACTGACGTCATCAATGTAGTCTGGGGGTTACCTTACCGTACCACACACAATCAATAATCTACTTCAATATATTTCCATAATGTCTACAATAGATATTATTCTATTAATCTACTTAATTAGTTTACTTTCTACATAAACAAAATCAGAGTCACTTAATCTGGTGTGTCCGTTTAGTTTAGTTTACATGTTGATTTAGCCACATAACGCTACCTGGGGTGTGTTAGGTTAGGTTAGGTTATGGTGTTTAATCATCAGGTGAAACAAGAATCAGGGGTGCCTAATCTTCTTGTGAACAGAATTTATATACCGCCTAGGGTAAATACTGAAACTCATCTGAATCTGACCTTTAAAACAGCCTATGAGTGTGGGAGAGAGGGAGTGTGGGAGGGAGGGAGTGTTGGAATGTGGGAGGGAGGGAGTGTTGGGGTGTGGGAGGGAGGGAGTGTTGGAGTGTGGGAGGGAGGGAGTGTTGGAGGTGGGGAGGAGGGAGGGAGGGTGGGAGGGAGGGAGGTGGGAGGGAGGGAGTGTTGGGGTGTGGGAGGGAGGAGTGTTGGGGTGTGGAGGAGGTTGGGGTGTGGGAGGGAGGGAGTGTTGGGGTGTGGGAGGGAGTGTTGGGGTGTGGGAGAGAGAGGGGAAGTGTTGGAGAGAGTAAGAGAGGGAGGGAGTGAGTGTGGGGGAGGCCAACCAGACCTCACTCAGACACAGCTTCAGTTGTTGTTGTCAAGCCGCTTCCTATAACGGGAGGTATGACCACGGGACGCCCTCAAGAGCTGCTGCATGAGAGAGAGAGACAGAGAGAGAGAGAGAGAGAGAGAGAGAGAGAGAGAGAGAGAGAGAGATTTTTGTCTTCTGTACATATAGGTATCATTCGTTCAATATCCATCGAAATCTGTTTATTATTATTATTATCCCAGAAAGGAAGTGTGTGTTTGTTTACGTCCAATGGCACAGCTGAGACCTTCACTGTGATGCTCCCATGACGATGTGTAACAGGACGTTGTCTGAGTCAGGGATTAGCCGTGAGGAGGGAACACAAGGAAGAAGAAGAAGGAAGAAAGAAGGAAGAAGGAAGGAGAAGAAAGAGAAGAAGGAGAAGAAGAAGAAGAAGACGAAGAAGAAGAAGAGGAGGAGGAGGAGGAGGACTAGTTGACACTATATTATTGAATGTGAAATGTCAAAGACTTCAGGCCACCTGACCTACTGTATCTTGAACTATGTAATTACTTCATTGAATCAGGTGTGCTTGAGGACATTCTTGCTGTTTATCCCAAATTTGCTAGCCCACACTGATTAGTCTTCAATTAGAATATGACTCCAATGTATGTGATCCACTGACCTATATATGCTGCTGGTGAATGTGATGTATTTCCTTCTTTGTGTATGAACCTCTGTCCTGCGTGGCAGTGAGACGTGATACCACCCTCAGTGTCAAGACCTGACTGAATTACTCAGAATAGGCAAACTGTACTACAAGCTTTGTCAATAAATATGTTAAACTAAACTTAAAAACAAAACAAAACGGGAGGGAGGGGAGGTAGTGGGAGGGTGGGGAGGAGAGAGGGACGGCGGGTAGTAAGGAGAGGGGGATTGAGGTGTTTTTTTAGTTTAACAAATTTATTGGTTTGGAAACAAAGTAGTGGATAATGGAACAAGTTACCAAATATCATCATTAACTCGAATACGCTGAATAGCTTCAAACATAGGTTGGATGCTTATATGAGCAATAGGGGTTGGGTGTAAACGGGACTGCCCAGTATGGGCCAATAGGCCCGCTGCAGATTCCTCCATTCTTATGTTCTTATGTCACTGTTCACTTCCATGCAGGACAGAGGTCCGTACACAAACAAATGCATCATATTCATTAGCAGTATATATAGGTCAGAGTCATGTGGGTGATGTCACTGTTCGCTGCCATGCAAGACAGTGGTTCATATACATTGGACGTCATATTCTAATTGAAGACTAATCAGTGTGGGCTAGCAAATTTGGGATAATCAGCAAGAATATCCGACAAAGTTTGCATCATTCACACAAATTCCAAGATATTTATAGGAGGGTGAGGGTGCGCAGGACGAGGATTGAGAACACTCGTCTTGTCAACATATATTATGAGACCACATTCCACAGTCCTTCCAGCAAGTACATCCAGCAAGGCTTGGAGCCTGAGCTTAGTCATATCTGATTGAGGTGGTAGGGTGCGGTTGGTGGGATAAGCGCAAATTGGGAAGAGAGGGGGGGGGAGATTAGACGCAAGATAATTAGCACAGCATAATGGGATCAGGGTGCTATGGTTAACAGTGAGGGGTGGGAGGAGGGAGGGAGGTAGGGAGAGATGAAGAGAGTGAGGGCAGGCAGATAGAAGGAAGTTGGAGAGTAAAGAAAGTGGGAGGGAGAGAGGGAGGGACAGTGGGGGGGAGGGAGGGAGGGACAGTGAGGGGGAGGGAGGGTGTGTGGATTGGTGGGAGGTGAGAAGGGGGAAAATTTACACACCACAAACAGTCAAGGAGACCCACCCGTAAGACACTTCCCTGAACGCCGCCAAAACAATTTATTAAACACATTCCAAACTCACACACACAAAAACAAAATAATCTTCGCGCGGTGGTGTCCGATGAGTTTCGAAATGAACACTACGACTCTTGTTAGCTCGGTAAGGTTGTCAGAATCCTTCGTCCGTTGTGTCATATTGTCTCGTACAAAATGGTAAAGAGTTTGGTGAGTGTGTGAACCATGAGTAACATATCAGGATTTATTTATGAACACAAGAATAGCAACGATAAACTTAGAATAAGACAAGAACGATAACAGGGTGAGGAAGAGGATGAAGAAGGAAGGTGATATAGAACAGAAGTAGGAAGGAGAATGATAAAATATAGGACCTAGAGAGACTATATTAATAACTAATTTAATTCCTGTTCTAATATGGACTACAACACCTTGAGATAAGACCTTTTGGGACTGACAATATAATTAACTTTAAAAAAATGCAAAGTACATGAATCTCTCTGTAACGAAACCAGAGTTAAAGCCTTGAGAAAATCCCCGCCAGACACAAACCAATTTATGTCATAGGTGAGGTGGAGACTGTGTGCTGACAGCCTCTAGTACCTCCCCTCACTACCTGTCGACCGTCTTTTGTTTACCCTAGCGTCCCTGTTCACCTGCTGACCGTCTTTTGTTTACCCTAGCGTCCCTGTTCACCTGCTGACCGTCTTTTGTTTACCCTAGCGTCCCTGTTCACCTGCTGACCGTCTTTTGTTTACCCTAGCGTCCCTGTTCACCTGCTGACCGTCTTTTGTTTACCCTAGCGTCCCTGTTCACCTGCTGACCGTCTTTTGTTTACCCTAGCGTCCCTGTTCACCTGCTGACCGTCTTTTGTTTACCCTAGCGTCCCTGTTCACCTGCTGACCGTTTAGTATTTACCTATAGCGATGTAATAAAATGGACACCCACGCCCACCAGCCGTTAAGAGAGGGGGGGCCTATGTGAAGATAGCTCCGCCTATACGTAGAACTGACTCGACTACGCCCATATTGTGAACCAGCCAATCAGTGGGAAAAGTGCCGATAGAATAGTTGAAAGACAGACTCTGATTGGACAGTCAATAATAATCCCTACAGAAATAATGTTAGATACACAAGCAGGGCCGGCCTTAGGAGGTGCGGGGCCCAGTTGGCTTAAGGACGGCCCTGTTTAACACAAGACAAGTCAGTTTATCATTGGGTGTAGTGTGGTGGGACCTCGAGCGTGGGCCAGCGACAATAGTACTAGACGAGGTAAGAGTGATGAACATTTCTCTGTAATAGTACGGGTATATATAGTAAATCCTCCTCTCCTCCCCACGGCATATGTACTTAAATTTAGAGATAAGACATACAACTTCACATCATGTCTTTTGGATGAATAGATGTAGTTAAGTCAGACATCTTCTTACATTTCACCCTGACTAATATAACAATGACCCCCCCTCCTCAACAACTGATGGACGGGTACAAGTAAATGTTATTAAGATGAAGAAATAAATAAGTGAACCGCCATTAATTAAACTAAATTACCTGAACACGAGGAAATAAAGTCAGAACACCTCCAGGTTATATCGTATACCTTCCAAGGATATCCTGACGAACCCAAGAACACCCCCAAGAACACCCCAATGACCCCGAACACCCCAATGACTCCAAGAACACCCCCAATGACCCCCCCCAAGAACACCCCCAATGACCCCAAGAACACCCCAATGACTCCAAGAACACCCCAATGACTCCAAGAACACCCCAATGACTCCAAGAACACCCCAATGACCCCAAGAACACCCCAATGACTCCAAGAATACCCCAAAGACCCCAAGAACACCCCCAAAGACCCCAAGAACACCCCAATGAACACCCATGACTCCAAGAACACCCCAATGACTCCAGAACACCTCAATGACCCCAAGAACACCCCGATGACTCCAAGAACACCCGATGACCCCAAGAACACCCCAATGACCCCCTAAGAACACCCCAATGACCCCAAGAACACCCCTAATGACTCCAAGAACACTAATGACTCCAAGAACACCCCATGACTCCAAGAACACCCCAATGACTCCAAGAACACCCCAATGACCCCAAGAACACCCCCAATGACCCCAAGAACACCCAATGACCCCAAGAACACCCCCAATGAACACCCCTAATGAAAGAACACCCCAATGACCCCAAGAACACCCCAATGACTCCAAGAACACCCCCAATGACCCCAAGAACACCCCAATGACCCCAAGAACACCCTGATGACCCCAAGAACACCCCGATGACCCCAAGAACACCCCAATGATCCCAAGAACACCCCAATGACCCCAAATAACCTCAGGAGTATTCGTAAGATGTAGTTATGTAGGTCAGAATCTACGGTAAATATTCACATTTTTGTCAACCCTAACCTAACCTTACCTAATGTAAACGAACCTAACCTAAGTTTACTTAACCTCACCTAACTTACCTTAATCTAAGCTACCTTAACTTAATCCAAACTTAAACTAAACTTAACCTAACCAAAGGATGTAACACCAATAGTGAAGATAATTTAGGTAGTGTGTGAGTGTGGCTGACGTGCGTTGATAGCCTGAGTGTGTAGTGGATTGCATCATGATCAACCCCACCCCTCGCCTGCTACCACCTCCCCTCCAACACTGCCCCCTCACCCACCAACACTAACCCTCACCACACCACTACCTCCCCCTCCCCCAACACCCCTCCACCACCAACGCCAGCTCTACGTCCTCCGCCTGGCAACACCTTCCCCCTCCATTACAAACAACAATTCCATCACAACAACGAAAGATTTGGCAGTCAAATATATAAAGAAAACGAGTGATAATAAGAACATAAGAAAATAAGGAGTCTGCAATAGGCCGGTTGGCCTGTGCATGGCAGCTCCTGTCGAGAGTTACTACCACTCTCTATCATCCATGAATCTATCCAGCCTCCCTTTGAAACTTTCCAGAATTCCCGCACTTACTACAAGGCTGCTAAGCTTGTTCCACTCGTCCACCACCCTATTTGTGAACCAGTTCCTTCCTATCTCCCTCCTAAACCTAAACTTATCCAACTTGAATCCGTTGTTCCGAGTCCTATCCTGCTCGGATATTATAAGAACTTTATCTATATCCCCTTTATTGATTCCTTTCACCCACTTGAATACTTCTATCATATCTCCCCGCACTCTTCGTCTTTCTAGGGAATGCAAGTTTAGTTTCTTTAACCTATCCTGATATGGAAGGTTTCTAAGTCCCGGAATCATTTTCGTCATTCTTCGCTGCACCGACTCTAGTGAATTGATATCCATTCTATAATAAGGGCACCAGAACTGAACCGCATAATCGAGGTGCGGCCTGACTAGCGCAAGATATAGTTGCAATAAGACCTCTGCACTCTTATTACTTACACTTCTAGATATAAAACCCAATTCTCTGTTTGCCTTATTTCGAACATTAACGCACTGTTTTCTAGGCCGTAGGTCCGGGCTTACAAGTACCCCTAGGTCTCTTTCACAAGTCGACTTCTCTAGGTTGATGTTGTTAAGGCTGTATACATTATTAAGTATTTGTTCTTCCAATATTAAGTACGCTGCACTTGCTGGTGTTGAATTTCATTTGCCATTTTTCAGACCACCCCTGCAGTATATTTGGATCCTCCTGTAATGCATTTGCATCCTGCCCTGAATTAATCTGCTGCCCTATTTTGGTGTCATCCGCAAACTTGCTTATGTCACTGCTAATCCCAGTAGGATGTGTTTGGCAATACTTTCCATGTTAGGGTTGGCCATCCACTCCATGTTAAGCTGGCCATGTTAGGGTTGGCCATCCACTCCATGTTAAGCTGGCCATGTTAGGGTTGGCCATCCACTCCATGTTAAGTTGGTCATGTTAGGGTTGGCCATCCACTCCATGTTAAGTTGGTCATGTTAGGGTTGGCCATCCACTCCATGTTAAGCTGGCCATGTTAGGGTTGGCCATCCACTCCATGTTAAGTTGGTCATGTTAGGGTTGGCCATCCACTCCATGTTGCTGGCCATGTTAGGTTGGCCATCCACTCCATGTTAAGTTGGTCATGTTAGGGTTGGCCACCCATGTTAAGTTGGTCATGTTAGGGTTGGCCATCCACTCCATGTTAAGCTGGCCATGTTAGGGTTGGCCATCCACCCATGTTAAGTTGGTCATGTTAGGTTGGCCATCCACTCCATGTTAAGCTGGCCAGTTAGGGTGGCCATCCACCATGTTGTTGGTCATGTTAGGTTGGCCATCCACCCATGTTAAGTGGTCATGTTAGGGTTGGCCATCCACCCATGTTAGGTTGGTCATGTTAGGTTGGCCATCCACTCCATGTTGGTCATGTTAGGGTTGGCCATCCACTCCATGTTGTTGGCCATGTTAGGGTTGGCCATCCACTCATGTTAAGTTGGTCATGTTAGGGTGGCCATCCACTCCATGTTGTTGGCCATGTTAGGTTGGCCATCCACTCCATGTTAGTTGGCCATGTTAGGGTTGGCCATCCACTCCATGTTAAGTTGGTCATGTTAGGCCACCACTCCATGTTGTTGGCCATGTTAGGCTGGCCATCCACCCATGTTGTTGGTCATGTTAGGTTGGCCATCCACTCCATGTTGTTGGCCATGTTAGGGTGGCCATCCACTCCATGTTAAGTTGGTCATGTTAGGTTGGCCATCCACTCATGTTAAGTTGGTCATGTTAGGGTGGCCATCCACCCATGTTAAGTTGTCATGTTAGGGTTGGCCATCCACCCATGTTGTTGGTCATGTTAGGTTGGCCATCCACCCATGGTAAGTTGGTCATGTTAGGTTGGCCATCCACCCATGTTGTTGGCCGTTAGGGTTGCTCATCCTCCATGTTAAGTTGGCTATGTTAGGCTGGCCATCCACTCCATGTTAGGTTGGTCATGTTAGGTTGGCCATGTTAGGGTTGGCCATCCACTCATGTTAGGTGGCCATGTTAGGGTGGCCATCCACTCCATGTTAGGTTGGCCATGTTAGGGTTGGCCATCCACTCCTTAGGTTGGCCATGTTAGGGTTGGCCATCCACTCCATGTTAGGGTTGGCCATGTTAGGTTGGCCATGTTAGGGTTGGCCATCCACTCCATGTTAGGTTGGCCATGTTAGGGTTGGCCATCCACCATGTTAGGTTGGCCATGTTAGGTTGTCCATCCACTCCATGGTAGGGTTGGCCATCCACCCATGTTAGGTTGGCCATGTTAGGTTGGCCATCCACTCCATGTTAGGTTGGCCATGTTAGGGTTGGCCATCCACTCCATGTTAGGTTGGCCATGTTAGGGTTGGCCATCCACTCCATGTTAGGTTGGCCATGTTAGGGTTGGCCATCCACTCCATGTTAGGTTGGTCATGTTAGGTTGGCCATCCACCCATGTTAGGTTGGTCATGTTAGGGTGGCCATCCACTCCATGTTAGGTTGGCCATGTTAGGGTGGCCATCCACTCCATGTTAGTTGGTCATGTTAGGGTGGCCATCCACTCCATGTTAGGTTGGCCATGTTAGGTTGGCCATGTTAGGGTTGGCCATCCACCCATGTTAGGTTGGCTATGTTAGGTTGGCCATCCACTCCATGTTAGGTTGGCTATGTTAGGGTTGCCATCCACTCCATGTTAGGTTGGCCATGTTAGGTTGGCCATCCACTCATGTTGTTGGTCATGTTAGGTTGGCCATCCACCCATGTTAGGTTGGTCATGTTAGGGTTGGCCATCCACTCCATGTTAGGTTGGCCATGTTAGGGTTGGCCATCCACTCCATGTTAGGTTGGTCATGTTAGGGTGGCCATCCACCCATGTTAGGTTGGTCATGTTAGGTTGGCCATCCACCCATGTTAGGTTGGCCATGTTAGGTTGGCCATCCACTCCATGTTAGGTTGGTCATGTTAGGGTTGGCCATCCACCCATGTTAGGTTGGTCATGTTAGGGTTGGCCATCCACTCCATGTTAGGTTGGCCATGTTAGGGTTGGCCATCTTAAGGAAAGATATTGAATTTCGACTGTTAACTGTGTGGACGGGGTTCTTTAATGTGTCGTTCGCCGTCCTAGAGTAAAAGTCACTTGTCTATCCATTGGTATAACTTTAATTCGTCATAGAAAAAAATATCAGTGGAGAGGAGGGATAGGGGGCGTGGGGGGAGTCTGAGAGGGAGGCGTGGAGGGGGGTATGAGAGGGAGGCGTGGGGGGTATGAGAGGGAGGTGGGGAGTGAGAGGGAGGCGTGGGGGTAAGGAGAGGGAGGCGGGGGGGCAGTATGAGAGGGAGGCGTGGGGGGAGTATGAGAGGGAGGCGTGGGGGGAGAAGGAGAGGGAGGCGTGGGGGGAGTATGAGAGGAGGCGGGGAGTATGAGAGGGAGGCGTGGGGGGAGATGAGGAGGGAGGCGGGGGGAGTATGAGAGGGAGGCGTGGGGGGGAGTATGAGAGGGAGGAATGGAGGGGGGAGTGGGGTAGGAGAGGGAGAAGGAATGGGGGGAGGAGGGAGCTGCAGAATCAAAAATAACTTAAGCATGTCGTACATCTGCCAGCACTGCTTACCATAAGGCTGCACTGTCTATGTATATTATGTATCTACAGTATACGTAAATTGTTTGTATACCTGTACTGTCTATGGTATACATGCATTGTCTGTGTACCGGTATTGTTCGTACACTTGTATAGTTTATGTATATGTACAGTAAATTTGTTATACCTACACTGTTCATATACATTGCTTGCATACCTTCATCAACATACATTATTTGTATACTTGCAATGTTTATACACATTGTATAAACTATGTACAGAATGTTTTTGTATTCCTGCACTCACTATATACATTGTTATATACACTGTATGTATATTGTATGCCTGAATTTTCGATATATATGCTGAATCAATGTCAATTTGTATGACAATTTTATTAAATACCTTCCTCCCATACCTTCCTACCACAGTGAGTCAGAGAGAATGTGAACTCCCTTATCTTCCTCGCCACCATCATGAGTTATACAATATTTTCAAAACAATGTTAAGTTGTTCTCATTGTTATTTATGACGTGTGTTTTATTATCAAGTACATTAAGTTATGTTTATAAAAGATCAAAGGTTTAGAAATTTCGATCTATAATTGAAAAGATCTATTGAAAAACTGCTTGGGAAATAATACAATTTATTGAAAACAAAAACGGTATCTTTTACATGATAATTGACTGTGAATGAAAAGTCTTCATAAGTTTCCTCTATAACAAAAGAGTAACACTTGTTTTGTGGATATAAATATTTGTGTTGGATAATTATTTGTATACGCGTTAAATCCTCATATTTTTACAACAAAAAACACTTTATGATGAGGATAACTTTCTGTTTTCCTTCCGAGGACTCTTTACACCTCACGGTCCTTCACCCACCATCGACAACCACCGGCGAACAAAACTATAAAACTACATAAAAGGTAAACAATGCACATCTACGCAGTTCACCTTGGCCAAAAAAAGAAGAAAAAACTTGATCTGTAGCAGCAGGAACCTTGGGAGCACATCTGACCTATATTCACTGAAACAACTATAGGACCCTTCACTAACTCTTGAAGTACGGTTCTTATAATACTAGTTTTGATCACTAAACATTTCCGAACTTTATGAAGACATCTACACAGAGACGACAACGAAAGCAACACTCATCCTGGCTCGAGCGTTTTAATACTGCCGTCCACGTCGCCATGTTCATAGGACACTAAACAGCATCTGTAAGAGTATACTCAATGTTTCCTTGATAACTTAATACGATGTTCGCGAACAACCACGACGTAAGCATTTATTAAGTAAGCACAGTGATTCTCTTGACAAACCGTAATCAGAATTAATCTATAACTAATCTCTCTAGTGTTTATAGGTGAATATTCGACTTCCTGGCTAGACAAACTACGAGAAATGGGGATATTTTTTTCCTCACTCCCAGGAAACAGTACTCGTTGACCTCTGGATTTCATTTCATTCCTCGGAAGTTCATCAGCTGAGGGTCATGAAAGCTCCAGAAGGTTGAAGTAACATTTGACACGCAACTCTGAGCGCCTTCAGCTATAACAAACCTGAATCATACCTAACAGAACCAATTTTTTGTGGTGGAGGACTGACTAGACGAAGTTATGACCAATAACTATGTCCTTTTATAGCGCCTAACATAAACTCAGTGAGGGCATTAACCACCAGCCGTGACGTCATATATCTCAGTCAGGCTAATGTGGTCCAGATAGCTTACACCATCAAGAAAAATCCTCTCTCGCCAAAAGTTGAATCGAATAAAGATATACAGAATAAATAACGAAAAACTAGATAGATACATGAATACAAAAAAAATAGTAACACACACACACACACAACATTGACAAGTAGAAGGTGGATATCACAAACATTGTATGATTCGTATTCAGTAACGAGCGATAGCCTTTAACCACGAACATGAGATCTACAAAAGCTTCAGTAATCATTATTTCTCAGCAGCTGAAAACATTAGTCAGCAGCTACAAACATATTCAACTACAAGCATTAATATTCGACTACAAGCATTAATATTCGACTACACGCATTAATATTCGACTACAAGCATTAATATTCGACTACAAGCATTAATATTCGACTACAAGCATTAATATTCGACTACAAGCATTAATATTCGACTACAAGCATTAATATTCGACTACAAGCATTAATATTCGACTACAAGCATTAATATTCGACTACAAACCCCGAGGTGCAAACAGGTGTTTTTATTAAGCAAGCTGAGGTGGTCTAAATCCTTAACTAACTCCTAGCAGAAAAAACTACAGGTAGACATGTAAACAAAACAGGCAGCGGACAGGCAACATTTACTTCCTCGTGGGGAAAAGTAGGATATAGAGTCATTTACCTTGGATATGACAACCTCCAAGGAACTACCGCCCTCATAACTGGCCGAGAGAGAGAGAGGTGTTTGTGGTTTGGTTCAGAAATCCATCAAATAAGTTCCCCTTTGGCTGATGACAAAAACAAAGCAAGAAAACAACAACAAAAATTCTCCTGTTTTCTCAAAGTCGAATATTTTTTGTTTCATTTTTAGTTTCACGTATCACAATGTCCCACAACTAAATATTTCCACAGCTCTTGTTTTCTGAATCACATGTAACACCACAGTCGAGGTACACACGGACACATTATCACTTGTGCAAAATTTTTACGTCGCAAGAGTAAGGTTTGTACAGAGCCTAAACTTAGCATCGTGTTACCAAATCTTGGGAGTGAATACCGGTTTCTATCGGCCAGGGCAACGACGGACACACAAACACGTATGTTCTCTTACCGTCACAGTGGGCACAGTTGGACGCAGCGTAACGAGCAGCAAGCGGATGTTGGGCACTACGGTATGAAGACTGAGGAAAGTAAGAGTGATGATAAGGACCGTCTAACACCAACATACGGTTCCTTGGCTGGGACCAGTTCACGACGAGGTGCTGTCTGTAACGCTGCTGAGCTGAGAGTGGGAGTCGGGCTTGGGAGACCTTCACTGGTGACGATGCCCCTCCAACCCAGCTGACCACCACCTCCTTTCCGACCCCCTCCACACACCTGTTCTCTCCCCCTTCCCCCACCCAACAGAACTGCCCATACCTCTTCTCACCCCCAAGGCTTGCTCTCCTTCTCCTCGGGTTTATTCATCCTCCTCCCCTTCCCCAGGGCTTCTCATCTCCTCCCTTTCCCTTGGGTCTGCTTACCGATCAACCCCTGATTCCTGCCCCCCACCAGGCCACTGTTCTACCTGCTGCTGAGCACGTACCCCACTCCCGCCCGCTCATCCACCACCACATTGCCACTATTCGTTATCCACATTTAATTTTATTCCTCGGTAAAAAAATAAGTTCATTAATATCTACAGCATCTCCGTGTACTACAGTTTCAAACAGTGGTCACTTAAAAAACTCACTGCTCTTCCAGAATTACGGTTCAGCGTCACAAATCGACACTGCTTTAACAAGGTGGTCACTGATGTACTGTGGATCCAGGAGCTGTGGCCGCCATGGAGGTCCCAGAGCCTCTACACGAGCACCGTATTAACTTCCTTCGCCAATATTACAAAATTAGCCCGTTTTTTAACTCCAGTGTTTGCTCTGAGCAGTCAATGATAACGGAGAGTTTGGTTAGAGGGGTGAGAGGGACCTCCCCCAGCTACAGTGTGTGGTAGACATCACGTGTCTGTGGCATGACGCGGTGAACGTGTTGTGCATCCTGACCCTGATAATTGTTATATCTAGTGAATAATTTTTTTCCTGATAAACAAATAACATATTGAGAGAGGTTGTGTGACGGTTTCTGAGATTATTACTCCTTTACCAAATGGATTTTCATTACCTAATTAACCAAATTTTCCATATGAAGATGACCCAGGGAGAATATCGTCATGAGGTGTTTCATTCACTTCATTTAGCCGAGAATGGCGAAACGATGAAAGATAGTTACAAGGATATGTGGATGAATAGGAAGACGTATAGATAGAAAACACAAATTAGTTAGGCAGATACATTTATGGTCTATAAGCAATATATATTTTAAAAGTGTTTCAGTGGGACAATTTAAACTGGGAAAAGACAAATATTTCGACAAGCCACTAGGCACACATCTCAATAAGCCTTTGATAATATTCTCATAATTAAAAATTGTTCCCATGTGCCCTTTAACTCAAAATATATGAACATTTGATATATAACAGTTCATATTATAATACAATAACTATTTTGTAAGATTATGTAAATTCTTTAATGTAAACTTCTGCAGCTAGTCATGGAAAAACTATTAGTTCACTCTAAAACATTTCAGGGCTTCTAAATGTTTGGGCAACAACGTGAAAGACCCCAAGTGAGCCGACCAAAACAGTTGTCAATACAGTATACAAATTGCTCACCCACTAGTGCTACTTAAGACACCAAACAACAGGAATATAGAATCGTTTTCCACATTAGAGCGATGGAGTTTTATTCTAGTTAAAAATAATAAACTCGAAGATTAAGGCAAAGTAGAATTAACTCCGAGATCATTTCAGCTAAACTTAACAATGAATCACCTCGTCGCTAATACCTCGTTTAGTAGTACAAGGGTGAATTTCCGACACTATATTTAGGCGCTTGTTTGTGACGAGGGAAGGTGAGGCCACGGTGGAAATAACAACAAAGTCTCGAGGTTTACTTCCTTGTCTGCGTACGTGCCACCGAATGTCAAAAGAACTTATACTACTACACAACCTCGCTTAAAGACCACCCACAAATCATCGATACCCGTGTGTGTGTGTGTGTGAGCGAGTGCGTGGAGTGTGTGTATGTGCGTGTGTGTGTGAGCGAGCGAGTGCGTGGAGTGTGTGTGTGTGTGTGTGTGTGTCTACGTGCGTGTGTGTGTGTGTGAGCGAGCGAGTGCGTGGAGTGTGGTGTGTGTCTGTCTACGTGCGTGTGTGAAAGGGAGCAAATAACTTGTCAAGATGATTCACCCACAACTGTCAGAAATTCCTAATATGTGAAGAATGATAATAGCTTCAAATACCTGGCTGAAAAATAAAAATAAACTGGACAGGCTAATAAAATTTACTCACTAATTAACAATATTACCTGTGTGCCTACCTGTGCGTCTTGTGTAACCTTGTCTCGCCCTTTACAATATGCAGTTGCCAGATAGTCAAACCAGGACATGCAGGTGAGTCTTGTATTCTGATGAACAAGATGAACACCGTCTAATCTGAACTTCACCCCAAAATGTTTCTTGAAAGACTAAACATGATATTTTACGGATCTACTATATGTGTTATACGGAGGCAAAAGAAGCAATATATATTTTAAGCAATAATGATGAAATTGGTTGGAAAAGCTTATAATCATTCTGAACAATAGACTGCACAAGGGAGTCCTGAATTTTGACGTCCGTGTTGTCATGCATCGATTACGACACCCGGAAAATGAATAGCATCTACGTTAAAACAACAAACTACTTGCATATGTTACAGTGAGACAAGTATTCTAGATCTTGCTTATGTTACAGTCTCTCTTCTTGGTCATAAGAGCCGTTAAACTGACAAACAAATGATAAGAGAATGTGAAAGTTTGATGGTGTTCCCAGAGAAAGCTGAGCATAAGAACGATATTAACACATGTTATCCTCGCTCGTTTAAGTCAAGGCTACATCAGAGGTGACAAGCTTTCAAACACAAGAGCCTTTACATGCCTGTGAGACTCCTGAACAGTGACGAAAAATCAACTAGGCACGTATTCCTCCTCAACCTGTAGACTGTAGTATCCCAGAGTAATGTCATCTACAGCGCAGGTAATAATGATCAAGGCTTTGATGTTGTTTCTGAGCTGCACAGGAAGAGCCGTAACCGGAAGGGGAAAGACTTACTTTATATGCCATTCATACTCCCCCATAGACTTGCTGTATGAAGGCCGCTGTGTATGTGTGTGGCAAAATAGGAGCAGCCATTATTGTTAAGGATCTTGTCGAATTCTCAGCGCGTAATAAACTTGGACAGATGAATGGTAAGCGGAAGAATAAAAAAAAAAAAGCATATGGAAATTAAAGTAAATAAAAGCGCAGTTATCTGGAGTTCCAACCGGCGTTAAGAATTATAATAGAAATTTCAGTGAACTTTATATACCACATACATTAATAATAATTCACAACAAAACATAATAAGACACCTTTTCTTGGCGCTTAAATGTAGAATACAAAAAATAATTACAATACTTAAATAAATTATAATCCAAGGCCTTACTAACGTTCTATAACAGCCTTCAGACTTCTAAAATCAAAGGTGGTTTACAGACTACCTTTGAACAAACAGAGAACCATTATAGGTCTGCAAACTCTGTACTGTACCGTCAGCATCGTAAGCCAGAACTCTGTGCGAGTGTACGCCTGTACGGTCCCTGTACCGCGGTTGTCACTTGCCGTCTGACCAGTGACCACCTCTGTGCCCCAAGGCCCCCAACACCCTTGCCAAATTTCACATAATTAATATGTCTATTATTCCCTGTATCAGGCCTAACTACATTTAGGTAACTACTTTCCAGATTAAGCTAAAACTAAAACAGTAAGATCCAAGATGCAAAAATGATGGTGAATAAAGATAACAAAAACTAAATACTGGTATAGATAAACAGCTGTTACCCAAATAAAACTACCAGCCGGCAGTTAAGGCTCACCTGCTCGGCTGTTCGTTACATCTACTCGTTTACAAAAAGAAAAAACAAAAATATAGACTAGTATCCCCAGAGACAGAATTGTTGCCCTAACATTTTATATACTGCACAGTAAGTATATACGGTCCCTGACTGGCTGTAGAAGCTAGTTGGTCTAAACATGTCATCAGTAGTTGTAGGTGTGCTTAAACTTCTTAAGCACGTGATCTCTGGCCGTGATTGGTTGATAGCTGCTGGAGTTGTCAAGGGGCTTAATAAGAACCGGGTTGTCAGGATGAATGAAGAAGACGATGGAGTGACGAGACGCCTTCAGTCGCACCTCCTCTGTGGGGATCAACACCCGGTGCTCCTGGACACACACACATGTACAGAAAACAAATACATGATTATAGGTCAAACAACAAGACCCCTCTTAACTAACCTAACTTAAGAGAACAGGTTCGTTTCATGCACTACAGAGTGGACAACATGAAACATTGATTTACATAATCGCCATGAAATTTCTCATACAATCAACAAACAACAAATCAAAATGACACCGGCTCACACAAACAATCATACATCTCAAATGATCAATATGAATTAACAACTCAAACGGTCATCTTTAAAACAATAACTCGCATAATGAGCATAAAATAAGTTACACTAAGATCTTAAAAAAAAAATTGATAAGAGCCTTCAGTCCTCTTTACCTGCCCTAAATTGACTATCAGATGAAGTCCATAGTCAGGTTGCTATCTGTGTACCACTTAAAAACAACTCGGGTTTTAGTCTTAACTTTTATCACTATAAGATGATAATAGCAATCTTCCCCTGAAAACTTGGAGGGTTTTTAATTCTCTTATCTTATAGTAAATATGTGTTCCTTGTTCCTGAAGGCTTTAGAAAAAGAAGAGGAATACGAGGAGGAGGAAAGGGAGGGGTAACACTCACAAGTACCTACCCACAATACATCAGCCTCACCAGGTTCCAAGAGCCAGCACCTACAGCCAGAAACTCACCGTGGCGAGGAACTTGTCGGCTGTCCAGAACTGTAGGAGGTCACCCACGTTTACCAGGATGGTGCCGGGCACAGGGACTGCCTCCACCCATGACCCTCCGCGTTCACGTACCTGATGGAGGAGGAACTGTCACCAAGGCCAGCTTAACACCCCCATCAACACTGGTGCCAGAGTAATCATGAAGAGAGAGAGAGAGAGAGAGAGAGAGAGAGAGAGAGAGAGAGAGAGAGAGAGAGAGAAATCTTGTATATATTCCTTAATTATTAGTAAAATGCAAACACGTTGTTTTCTGTATCAGTAAATTACTAAACTATCCTATTCAACAAAAATTCTTAATAACTTTTTAGTAAAATTTTTGTATACCACATGCACAATGGGTGGTCCACTGGTTCCTAGCGTACCCTGTCTGGGTCCCATGTTGGCCTAGAACAGCCCAAACTGACAATCTGACATGGAGGTTGTCTACGTTGTTCACAAATATTCCAAACTACCGGTAACCATGAGACTATAATATGTTGTCCAGGATAAATCCAAACTGACCTTAGAAACAACATAATCTGACCTGGAGGCCACCCATGTTGTCCTGGAAGAGTAGCGTAATGGTGCCGTAGTCAGTGTGGGCTCCACAACGGATGGTGTTCTCCGGGATGGTGTCGGGGACAGGCGGGTAGTGCAGCAGACGCAGACATGACATATTGTTGTCACTGTGCAAGTCATTATGAGTTGAGGTGAAGAAGTCCCGTTCTAATCCTAAAGGAAGTTGAGATGGAAGTTGTGATTTGTAATAAAATTGTGTCAGGAAGATTATATCAGTATCTCATCAATGTTCAACTTTGTGGTGTATAAGTAATAATGGAGGATTAAATAATATTTGAATTAGGCGGATGTGTTGTATTCCTGGAGGTACTGTGTTTGTCGTAGCTGTGATGGCCGGGGAAGGTGCAATAGTTTTGTGGCCTTCTGTTAACCTCGAGCACAGCTGTCATTGTCAGTGTGATCAAGAACTTACTTATTATTTATTATAATCAAGAACTCAGCTGCTGCATACTGAGGAATAACTAGTAATTCAGTGCAATAAATACAACTCGAAGTTTGTGAGTGTTATGGGATAGTTTTAACGCCAAACAACATCTTGACCAGGAGTAGGTAGTGAGAGTTAGGGCAGCTGCTCACTGCCAATGGTGATTAGGATAGTATACCCAGACCGTAAACAGAAGTGGACGAACCAGCAAACAGAAAATGTAGCTGGTCTCTGGATCAGGGATGACTGTCTTTGCCTCTGTCTACCCAGCGGTAATTGGGGACCTGGATGTTAATCGATTTGCGGATTGTATTCCGGGGGTAATGATTAGCCAGTGCAGTTAGCGAATTGCTCGGTCTTCTCGGACTATTCCTTGACACTGGGACATGCAACTCGTTAACTCAGGGTGTGGTTGTTGTGTTGGCGACAGCTTCTACACGCCTAGGTGGCCTTTGGGCCGGCCATCCTCGTTACAAGAGGGGTAACCATTATTATTATTATACTGTATTATTAATCTGCCAGTTCTGCATCTGTTCTGTGTAATGAACTGATGGATGACAAGAGTTAATAATATATTGAGTATAAGCTTTGGGACCAATATATGATTGGAATGTGTGAATGTATGGTCATGAGATGTGGTGGGTGGATATAGTAACATTGTTAAGTTTGTATAATGAACCAAAATAGAAATATCAGTATTATTAACCTTTGCAGGAGCTTAGTAGTCCAACTTAAATATTTGTGTTAGTGAGGTGAGGTGAGGTGAGCCCTGGGACACACTGTTACTAGGCCAACTTTGCCTCACTGCATATTTGTTCACAATTTGGCTGTAACATAAATACTACAAGTGATCCATATATGGATTTCAATTTCGAAATCATTACTTTCACTTTTTTACTTTTATCTTCGCCACTGATCGGTGGTCGTTAGTCGCTTGGGCGATCGGTTACGTCTCCATTACACACTATTGGCTCCTGAATGTATCTGAACCTGCTCCAGTGTTGGTCAAGTCTGGCCTTGAAAGAGCTCACACTCGGTGTCGTCACAACACTCTCTGGCAGATTGTTCCAAGAGTTCACAACTCTCACTATGAAAAAGTTTGCCCTCACAGTTTTCTGGACTTGTGGCTTCTTCAACCTTGAGCTGTGGCCCCTTGTGGGGCGAGCGTCCGCCAGCTCCAGGTATGGACACTTAACCGAGTAGTATAAGCTAAGCAGTTGCAGGCGTTCTAATCTAGGTTGCCATATCTGAACATTCAAAAAAGAGGACGCTCCCGAAAACATCCCCCCCCCCCTGCACACACAGGCTAATATACAACATACATGGTATAGAAATCTTAAAAAAAAAAATTACCTTTGCTTAAGGCTGAACATCTTCATTCCCTTAGCTGCAGTCTTCTTCCCCCACTGTGTGTGTGACTTGATGTGCCTATGCATACTTTTCTGTAGATCAGATCTTTTTCAGTATTGGTTGATTGCTCTTTAGAAAGGTATAGAAGTCACTGCAAGGTGTTTCTCGGAAGTTGTACTGTACGGTCAGAATGCCTTTCATTGTTTCAACACTCAATTTGTTCCTTTCCTTTGTCCATTGACTTTGCATCAGTGAAAAAACTCTTTCTACATTTGCATTGTGAGATGATATAGCAAAGAAGAATTGTGCAATTCTTAGCAATTCTGAGTGGCATTCAATGTTCTTTGATTTTTCAAAGTATCTGGTCCACTTTTTATGTGTTGGCAGATTACTAAATTCTTCATCACTCTTGTAATTTTCCACAAACTGCTTCAGGTTACTAACTTGGTCAAAACACTTCATCAACTTCTACCCCATTATCAATCAAATATTTGACAGCTAAGTTGACAACACCGTACAGGCGTACAAGTGACTTACAGCTGACGAAAACTGAACGAGATCTCTACGGTTTCCACTCTCTTCTCTCTCTCTCTCTCTCTCTCTCTCTCTCTCTCTCTCTCTCTCTCTCTCTCTCTCTCGTCATTACAATTTCATGTTTTTTTTTCCGTGGAGAAAATGATGGAAGCTGAAATTCCGGACTTTTGAAGAATTTTAAAAATTCCTTCCGGATGAAGATTTCGAGACCTAAATGGAGGACATGTCCGGGAAAATACGGACGTATGGCAGCCCTATTCTAATCTCTCTGGGTAACTGAGCTGCCGTCGGAATACAAATATAAATAAAAATAAAAATAAAAATATGTACATTTTTCGCATATAATCAACTACTAATAATATGAATAATTTGAACGACCGGCGTAAGACAGTACCGAGGCTGTGAGCCAGGGCAATAAGGAGCCTGTTGTTGAGGGTTGTGCAGGACTTGAGGAAGGATGTCACGGCTGGTCTGAGAGACGGAACCTCCGCATCAGGGATCATTCCATCAATACATCTCAAGTCGTAAGCCTCGCGTAGCTCATGAGAATTTTTCTGTGTATCCAGACTGAAAAAAATAAACTGTATATATATTTTGTAAAAAATAATTATAAATATCACATTTATGTTATTTTTATGTACAATCACACAGGTTTGCTGTTAGAGTTAGAGACGAGTATTGAGAGTGTCAAAGCCTACGTTTCTCTGTCTACTGCCACGTATCCCTGCTGTTTCTCTGGGTCTCTCTGATAGCGTATCTTCGTCTCCTCGTCCAGGTTGAAAAAGGTGGCACTTGACTTGAAGAGGTGGTCCATCTGCTCAACAAATAACATGATATAGATAGCATGTCATGTACGGTTAATGTTAAGCAGGGGTTCTCTGTTACGTTATTCCTTAAAATAAAACATTTGATACAATTTTTATATAAATCTTGGCAGTAAAATAAGAACGAATTTGTGTGATAATTGATATAGTTTTAATAATTAATAACATGCGCGCGCGTGTGTGTGTGTGTGTGTGTGTGTGTGTGTGTGTGTGTGTGTGTGTGTGTGTGCTCTTTAATAGTCTCATCACGAAAGTTATAATTTCATCTTAAATTGTTATCGACACTGTGTTAATGACAATAAATACAAATGTTTGATTAATTGTTTAGGGAATATAACTTTTTTCACAAACTCTCCCTGGTGCAGTTATTGATAAACAAACAACAATGTTGTTACCGGGGGCCAGATATCACTGGAGCTGTAACTAGAGTGACAAAATACACTCTGGTAACACTCGAGTGACTGAAGCTTGCAAACAATATGGTTTCTTCCTTTTGGTCAACCAAATACTGCCTCTTACTGTAGGCACACAGTGGTTACCTGGTCGTCAGACACGCCGTGGTTGGTGAGGTACACGAAGCCAATGTCAGTGAAGGCGTCGTGCAGCTGTCGTGCCACCCGCTGCCACTCCTCCTGACTGGGCTCCTCGTCATGCATCAGACCTGTTGGTGTGGGGCGCTCTTATAGGGCTCAGGCCTAGCTGCCTTGACGAGAGAATGTTACCCTTAACGGATTCTCGTTTGCAAACAACAACAGCAGGTTAAAGTTTAATGGAGGTTCACTCGACATGGTTTAAGAAAAAGGTTTTATCTTGTAGTGATTTTATGAAGAGATGGAGGTGACTCACCTAGTTGGCCCAGGTCCACCAGTGGGATCCTTCTGCCGGGTGTAATGCCCTCCATCTTCTGCAGTGTAAACAATGTACACTATAGTGATACATATTATGGCTTCTCTAAGTTCTCTTTCTCCTTATCCTCAGTAAATATTAACAATCAAGAACTTCTACAAATTTATCCCAATTCTCACAACTCAATATGGAGGAGGCAGGTGTCACATTACTGTCTTTCCCTTTTCATTAATTTAAGTTGAAACTGGTTACTTTTTCTAACCCAGAAACCAGCGCAAAATAATATTCCCTGCTAGGATCTGACCGCCGGTACAAGTGGCTTTGCTTCACGAGCAAGTTTATGTTTTTTTTTCTTACCTACAAAGTTTACATACTGTACATAAGTATGTGTAGGAATAATATATTTTGAGACCTTCCTTCTGTCTCTCAGGTACAGTAACATAACGTCAGCCGGTTTTGTTGTTGCCTCACCCTAATGTTCCAACATGACGAGCAGTAAATACTCCGCATTCTTGTGGTGGTCCCCGGTTCTTCACATTTAAGAACACAAGAAAATAATAATGGAGGAAACTGCAGCGGGCCTATTGACCCATATTGGGCAGTCCCTGTTTACACCCAACCCCTATCGCTCATATATTCATCCAGCCTATGCTTGAAGCTAACTTGTTCCACTCGTCCACTACTCTGTTTCCAAACCAATGTTTACCTATTTCGCGCCTAATCTAAATTTGTTTAATTTAAAACCATTGCTACGAGTTCGCTCCTGGTTGGATAGTTTGAGTACCTGTGTTATATCACATTTGTTTAGCCCTGACTTCCATTTATACACCTCGATCATATCGCCCCTCACTCTACGTCTCTCGGGGGAGTGCAAATTAAGATGTTTTAACCTGTCTCTGTGCTCAAGGTTCCTAATGCCCGGGATTAGTCTTGTCATTCTCCCCTGAATTATTTCTATAGGGATTCTATATCCATTCTGTAGTACGGTGACCACAACTGAACTGCGTAATCCAAGTGAGGTCTCGCAAGCGCAAGATATAGTTTTAGGATAACCTCGATAGTCTTGTGACTAATACCCCTTTGTAGGAACCCAGGTACTTTGTTAGCTTTTTTTCGAGCAAATACACATTGTTGACTTGGTTTAAGATTCCTAATTATCTTTTCTCCTAAATCTTTCTCACAGTCGGATTTCTCTATAACATCGTTGTTCATCTGTTATCTGGTTTCTCTGTTTACATCTCCTAGGCTAAGTACTTTACATTTGTCCCCATTAAATTTCATCAACCATTTTTCAGACCATTCGATTTTTTTTATCTTCCTGTAATTTTGCGGAGCCCTCGTTAGATTTAATTACATGCCCTATTTTAGTGTCACCAGCAAATTTACTTATGTTGCTGTCTACGCCTATATCTATGTCGTTTATGTATATAATAAGTAGTAATGGTCCAAGTACTGAGCCTTGGGGTACTCCACTAGTGACGTTGCTCCAATGGGATTTTGTACCGTTAATGCTCACTCGCTGTTTCCTGTCCTGTAACCACGCCCTAATCCATTTTAGAGTATCTCCTCCAATGCCACGAGCCTCCACTTTTCGTATTAGTCTTTCGTAGGGGACTCTGTCGAAGGCTTTGCTAAAGTCGAGATATACCGCATCATAATTGTGCCCCTCGTCCACTGATTCGAAAACAGATTAAAAGAATGTTAATAGATTAGTCAGACATGAACGCCCGCTTCTGAAGTCATGTTGGGAATCATTGATAAACTTGTGCTTCTCCAGGTGATTTCGAATAGAGTTTGAAATTATTGCTTCCGGCAATTTGCCTACAATTGATGTTAAACTGATTGGACGGTAGTTAGAGGATAGTGACCTATCCTCCTTCTTGGAAATCGGTATTACATTCGCTATCCTCCAGGATTCTGGTTTTACACCCGTTTTTAATGACAATTTTGTTGCTTGTGTCACCTCTGTTCTGAGCTAGTTAGTTTTCTGCCATATGTTATTATTAATTACCTGAAAACACTTCTTTATGAAATTGCTTTATATGTAATTAATTATAAGTTAATTATAGTTACTGTTTTGACTTAGTCGTTTACCTCACCCTTTCTGCTTTTGTCGGAAGTATTAACATTTAGCGACACTTGTTATTTTACATATTTATGTTATATAAACACCGTCCCCTTGAATGATATAACAACACTAATTGAAGTGACTGACAGCTGCCTACCCAATGAACATTCCCAAATAAACAAGACAGTAAAAAGTTAAAAATCGCAAATATCTCAATCGTATTAAATATATTATTAGCAGTACGTTATTGACTTCCTTTCCTGTGTTTATGTTTTATACACAGTACAGGTAGATGGTGAGCTATAATTCCCTGCCATGTAAAGAGTGATTCAGCTCTACAGTATAAAACAATGAAAACCATGTTTATAATTATGTACACTGACTGCAGTATCTAAAATATAGAACACTTTTCACTATTGTACAAGAGAGCAAATTTGTTTTCAATCATGTTTCATTTGTCAGTGATACTAATTCCAGTATACTGTATACCACGTAGAATAATTACAGATCAATCATTTCACCCGTTATGGGTCGATGACTGGGTGGACTATTCCCCGTAAAAAACACCGTAGGTCCTCGTCTGTCGTCTCTACCACAGTAGCAACAAGCAATACACAGTAACCGGTTTCACAATATTCCCTTTACTGAACTAAAACAACACGCACCCCATTTGAGTTAGGACTCGTCGTGAAATATTATGGGACCACTGTTTTATTTTCGTACATTACAAATCACATTGTCTAAATTGAAATATAAAATTCTGTTCAATTTCCTTTGCTATTCAATTCGTTTAATTTGTTTGTTAGAAGCACATACATTGTCGTATTCAAATGCTTGATTCCATTTTATTGTACAGATATATCACTTACAATTGCTAACGTCATTTCATGTTCAATTAAATGTCAATTCAGTTGAAACTATCATTTCATAATTATAATAGCCACTGGATACATTTTCTTACCTAGAAATAGAAATTAGCAGAAAACGATGTTCTATGCCGGCACCTCACTCCAAAACAAGGGAACTGATCGATCTAAACTATTATTGAATTGCGCACTGGCAACTGCCCACACGCACGGCCGAAGTGGGCCCCACAAGAACAAAGGTGCAGCGGGTGGCGTAAGAAAAGCAGCAACACAATATCAGAACGCATGCTTCTGCACTAATATAACTGCACTCAGCTTAATTCTGTACACGTCTTCAGACAACCAGACTTGTCTCCACGCTAAGAATATGTGTTTACCTCTGCCTTCACTCTACCTTACAGCATGTCTTCACTCAATGCATCTCCTGTCACCCCATTATACCTGCTTCTACCCTTCCAAACTCCCACTCACCTTACCTGGCTTAAGGGGAGGTGCGAGGCACGAGAGAGAGAGAGAGAGAGAGATCCTTGTTGATGTTAATTTATCTCTGCAATATGTTACAGACACTACAAGTCTCATAAAATATCCCGATAGTACATTTATTTATTTAATCTAGTTTTTGTACATGAAAAAAATCTAAATAAACCTTTCAAACAAATTGACTCTTACAGGTCAACCATTCATTGTCAAATAAACAATGACAAATATTACATAATCCTCTCAGAGGTCAGTTAAACACTGTATAACTATGATAACGTTAGAAGCTGAAACAAGAGATAACAGCCTCGTGATGTCACTTTCTAGACTTGTGTTAACTGCTGCGCATTATCACCATAAAGAAAATAACTATTGTCGTAAAACTAGCACAACATTCTTAACAGTTGTTTGTGTCCAGCACAGAGAGAGAACAACACAGTAAGAATTGTTCCTGACGGAGGATGACTTGCCGTCCACACATATTGCTGTCACCGTCACACCTTCGTTCGTGGAAACCATTACCAGTGTGTCCTGGTTCTTCTAAAATGACCTTTGCTGTATTTGATCAGGTTAATTAAATCAAATTTCCCCCCACACACTCATCATTCTGTCACTTTATGTAACTTGCTGACAAAACCCATGACCCTTCAGGGTTCTACGCCCTGAATCCGTGAGTCATAAAGGCAAGCATGAACTCCGCATGCTCCCAGATGGGCACGGTAAACGCTTCTGCGCTTCACCTTGCACAGGATGTAAGGGGGTGCCCAATAAACTAGCCCCCTCCGGGGCAATCTAAAAAAAACCTAAAAGAAACCCCCAAAATTTTCCACCAAGACGCAAACAAACACACTACAACACTTATGTTCTTTTAAAGTGGTGGATTGGACCATCTCGAGTGGATGCTACATACCGACAGCCTTCACCACCTGGTCTTGCATTATTATACCAAAACAATCAATTAGTTGGAACTGAATCCCGGCAGTGTTAAATTGTTCCTTTTACCTAAGAAGACTGGATAAGCATTACGAGTTCCTTATCCCCAGCATCAGAATTAAGTAAAGTTAGTAAGCCACGAAATACTTCATCACTTGGCTCAGTCCAGCTTTTTGTCTTAGGTCGGTTTAGTATTATAGGACCATAGAACCTCACTCTCTTGTAGTGGCAGGTTATCCCGGCAGGCAGAGATGTTCGTCTCGATAGTGGAGTAAACTGGCGACTGTGTTCAGCTTGTGTTAATTGTTGTCTCTCAAGTTATGTAAGAACAAGAGTCACGTCATCGTCCCTCCTATCAAGTTTTGGCCAAATCTTTTATCACTTTTTAATTATCTTAGCAGAGTTTTTTTTAATTGGTTACTAGCAAACAACTTGTCTCTTAATGCTCCCAAAACTCACTTCAGTATATTGTATTGCTATTGATGTAGTATATTAAAATATATAAATATCATAAAGAAGGCTATTGGGAGTTTACTGATAACAATTGTAATTGAAAAAAAAGTAAATTCAAAGGTAAACTTTCAATTCAACGGAAACTCTTCATAGGATAAAAAAATGATTGTCTTCCCAGTTATGATTGACTGTATATTTTTATATAGTTTGTCTCACCCATGTCTTCATTATTGTAGAGTTACATGCAGGGGATTGGCTCTATACCTTCTACAGATACTACAGAAAATTGTAATAATAATGTTAGGAGGCAGTTACACTGATGCACTGTAAAAGGCTCAAGGTCCATAATATTTATGTGCTGAAATCTATACAATTTGTATTTAGTCGACTTTATTTAAGTCCAACTGTCACTTTTATTAGTGCTGTGAGTGTCCACCATATAAATACCAGATATGAAGGTCATTTAAGTCCACCTAAACCACAAACAGATATGTGAAAGAGGTTTGTTTCATACTCGTCATGTGATGAGTGGAACAACTTTACAGAATATTTTAGAATAATAAGCAATAAGGTAACATTTAAGGAAACACAAAGAAATATATACTTGTCACTCTTAGTAGTATGTATGTATGTACAGTACAAACATACTTTGCAGTCCCGAACAAAAGTTAGCTTCCTCCCAAAGTGAAGCAATATCGAACCCATATGAGATAAGATTGCACATCAGCACCAGGCCACCTTCAGATTTTTAATAGGATTAGCCCACCAGGGCACAGGTCAATAATAATTTTTGTTTAACTATTTCCTGATTAAATTTCTAAAAAAATGAGTTGATAACACTGTATCATGTAGGTGTAGGTGTATTGAACCTTCCTGGGGTGCAGGCCTCAACATAAACTGAATGTCATTAACGGTTACCCAACTTCTCCAAGTAGTGGCAGTTAGCCGTGGAGAAGATCGCAGTCCTAAGGAAGTTGTTAGTAGTTGTGGGACTTCCTGAGCTTGTAGAATAGGTGGTCCTTGACCGTGATGGGCTGGTGGCTGCTGGAGCCATCGAGGGGCTTAATGAGAACTGAGTTGTCAGGGTTGATGAAGAAGGCGATAGAGTGACGAGACGCCTTCCGTTGCAGCTCCTCTTTGGGGATCAACACCCGGTGCTCCTGGACACACACATATATTAAAAAGGGTAATATTGTTAATGGCAATCAAACCTACACAAATGACAACATGAAACAGCAGCACACACAAGATGAAGATAAGATTCACACAAAAAATGACAAAGAGGAAGATTAAAAGTATAAGAGAAAAAAAAGAGCAAAATAGAGACGAGGAGAAAAGCGAGGAATACAATATACACTCTCAAGTATCCACACTTAACATTTCAGCCAGCAACAGCCTCACCAGGTTCCAAGAGCCAGCACCTACAGCCAGAAACTCACCGTGGCGAGGAACTTGTCGGCTGTCCAGAACTGTAGGAGGTCACCCACGTTTACCAGGATGGTGCCGGGCACAGGGACTGCCTCCACCCATGACCCTCCGCGTTCACGTACCTGATGGAGGAGGAACTGTCACCAAGGCCAGCTTAACACCCCCATCAACACTGATGCCAGAGTGGTTACCAGGCGAGAGAAAGAGAGAGAGAGAGAGAGAGAGAGAGATAAGATTTTATGAGAGTAAGGGAGAGGGAGAAAATATAGAAAGAGATGAGACACAAAGGAAAAGGACACAAAACAAAGAAGAGACAAAACAAAATATAAAGGAACATGAAACAAAACGATTGGAAGATCGAAGACTAATTCATTGGGAAGTTTCTTTATTTATTTTGTCATGTATTAAAACTTCTAGTCAACAGTTTAGGGTTTACTCAGAACTTCCAGAGAATGTTTAGTGAAATATGTAATTAAGAGGTTAACTAGAAATTCCTCTCATGAACAAATTAGTATTGTGTTCTCAGTGAATTTATCTATCAGAAAAATAGTAGTCAGTAATTCTCAGATATTAAATATGGGGAAGCTAGTTAAACATGTATAAACATTTCACTGCTCATAATTACATCAACTGGGTAGGCTAAGTCATGACAAAACGCCAGTCCTACAGCAGGTATAGTAAAATGCACAAAACTATAAAGTAATAATGGTCACAATAGACACAATGATAAGAGCACTGTTGTGGTCCCGTATAATGGTACTCATAAAAGTATTTAAGTAATAGTCTCAGACCTGGTGCCACTAATGTATGCCACATTCAGGCTGTTGAAGGAGGGAGGAGGAGAGCAGAGAGTAACAGCAGAAGCACTTGGGTTGAGCCCCAAGATCTATCAACCTATACTACTATTTTCCAATTTCCTCACTTTTCTTCTTGCACTATCCACCAACCCCAGTCTCTCTGAAGTCCACCATCAATCTTCAAGTCCAGTTCCTATACTACCAATCTATGCACTAACGGATCAAGATCTCTTTACACTTCACCCATCGATTCAACTCGATTCTATTCCAAGGAATGAGTGCTCGAGAAGCAGGTAGACAGGGCCTTATATGGGCCTGGATCGTGGGGAATCGTGGCCTTGTGAAATCACATTTTGGATATGTGACGTTGATTGACTGATAGGTGAAGCCTTCTGCCTCGAGAACTGGTAATACAGAGGTGGGGAGGAGGACGCCTGGATGATTGGCGCCTGTGAGTAGGCAATGTTTTTCCCACTAAAATGAGATGTTGAGACGTGACAATTTGTTATGCATTTTGATTGTAATGTCAGCAGCTGACTGAATATAAGTGTAAAAGTGATCTTATTGAAACAGAATGAAGGAAGAGAAATAAAAGCAGACAAGTGGATCAATTAGTAATATGAAATAGGCATCCCTCCTTATCCAAATGGGCTAGAGTTGTTGAAAGCAGTTCCGTTATCAAATATTCGGATAACAAATAAATGTCGGAAAAAAGATTTACTCCCCACGCAGCAAAAATCAAGTATTTTATTATCCTTTGAGGTAAAAATTATTTAGTCCTGGTTTATTCTTCTCCTTTTCACAATTACCGAAACATTATTAAAGGTACTGCTCCTAAAACAAATCTTAAACTATATAAAATGCATCTATGGATTTAGTACAGTACATTATCTTACAATGACTTTCCCCGTTCTTAATGCTTAATTATCTCAATCTTGGTTTCAATTATCACAAGTTTGCAGCAATGGTGGAGGTGGCAGAGGAATCGCCACTATACTTGGATGCCATTGTGTACACATTCATAGAAGGATAGCATGGATAAAGAGAGAGCACTTCACTCTAAAAGCTAATTTACACCTTTTTTTTAACACAAAATATAGGATAAGAAAATCTGACCTGGAGGCCACCCATGTTGTCCTGGAAGAGTAGCGTAATGGTGCCGTAGTCAGTGTGGGCTCCACAGCGGATGGTGTTCTCCGGGATGGTGTCGGGGACAGGCGGGTAGTGCAGCAGACGCAGACAAGTCAAATTATTGTCTTTGCATAAGCCTTTGTGAGCCGAGGTGAATAAGTTCCGTTCTAATCCTAAGGAAGGCGAAGGTGAAATTGTTAGGAATCCGAGATTCTTTTCCTATTTCTAGTTATGTCTGTCATAAGACCGAGGCAAAATGATTGTATACATCAGTGCCATTCTTTTTACTGAATTGTGTACTAGATAAGTGATCCCTCTGTGCTTCTCAAATTCAGAGACGTAAAAAACAGGAATAAGGAGGAATGGATTTCACGAATATTAACAACTATCAATATGACTTTACCGAGGCTGTGAGCCAGGGCAATAAGGAGCCTGTTGGTGAGGGTTGTGCAGGACTTGTAAAAGGATGCCGCGGCTGGTCTGAGAGATGGAACCTCCACATCAGGGAAAAGTCCATCAACTCTACTCAGATCGTAGGCCTCGCGCAGCTCATGAGACATTTCCTTTGTATCCAATCTGAAAAAAAAAATTATCTATCGATTTTATTTAAATACATAAATATAATTTTTATCAGATTATGACGAATCAGAAGTGTCAAAGCCTACGTTTCTCTGTCTACTGCCACGTATCCCTGCTGTTTCTCTGGGTCTCTCTGGTAGCGTATCTTCGTCTCCTCGTCCAGGTTGAAAAAGGTGGCACTTGACTTGAAGAGGTGGTCCATCTGCTCAACAAATAACATGATATAGATAGCATGTCATGTACGGTTAATGTTAAGCAGGGGTTCTCTGTTACGTTATTCCTTAAAATAAAACATTTGATACAATTTTTATATAAATCTTGGCAGTAAAATAAGAACGAATTTGTGTGTGATAATTGATATACAGTACTGTACCCACCTCTGAAGTTGTGAATTACGCGAAAGCGCTTGGGAATTTCGTGTTTTCTTGTTTCCTATGTGGTTATGAGCATATGTACTGTATAAGATTTCAAAGAAATTATCATACGTGTGTGTGTGTGTGTGTGTGTGTGTGTATTCTTTGATCTACAGATACATTATGGAGCACTCTTTATTTTCTTACTGTTAATAAAATTATCTGAATAACAATAAAATAAAAATAAAAATTAGGGAATATTTTTCTCTATGATCTACCATAATGCAAATAAGTTAAAGAAAATATAAAAAGGAAGCTTCCTGACAGACCAATGTTGTTACCGGGGGCCAGATATCACTGGAGCTGTAACTAGAGTGACAAAATACACTCTGGTAACACTCGAGTGACTGAAGCTTGCAAACAATATGGTTTCTTCCTTTTGGTCAACCAAATACTGCCTCTTACTGTAGGCACACAGTGGTTACCTGGTCGTCAGACACGCCGTGGTTGGTGAGGTACACGAAGCCAATGTCAGTGAAGGCGTCGTGCAGCTGTCGTGCCACCCGCTGCCACTCCTCCTGACTGGGCTCCTCGTCATGCATCAGACCTGTTGGTGTGGGGCGGCTCTTATAGGGCTCAGGCCTAGCTGCCTTGACGAGAGAATGTTACCCTTGACGGATTCTCGTTTGCAAACAACAACAGCAGGTTAAAGTTTAATGGAGGTTCACTCGACATGGTTTAAGAAAAAGGTTTTATCTTGTAGTGATTTTATGAAGAGATGGAGGTGACTCACCTAGTTGGCCCAGGTCCACCAGTGGGATCCTTCTGCCGGGTGTAATGCCCTCCATCTTCTGCAGTGTAAACAATGTACACTATAGTGATACATATTATGGCTTCTCTAAGTTCTCTTTCTCCTTATCCTCAGTAAATATTAACAATCAAGAACTTCTACAAATTTATCCCAATTCTCACAACTCAATATGGAGGAGGCAGGTGTCACATTACTGTCTTTCCCTTTTCATTAATTTAAGTTGAAACTGGTTACTTTTTCTAACCCAGAAATCAGCGCAAAATAATATTCCCTGCTAGGATCTGACCGCCGGTACAAGTGGCTTTGCTTCACGAGCAGGTGTAGACGGGTGGGACCTGGGACGGTACCCTGCAATTTCCGGATTATCACTGAAGGTGAAAGGTGATACTGGTGTTCCCAGGTCAATGCACCTTTTCGTGAAAAATGATGAAGATATAATGGGAAGATTTGAGAATATGGAGAAGAGAATTATTTGGACGGATTACAAAGCTCTAAAGTTGGAAGTGTGGGTGAGCTGGGGGTCACTTAATCACCACAAAAGTTGTAAGCAGAAAAATGGAATTATAAAATATTAATACTTATAGTATAAACACATATCTAGAGAGTTAAAGTAAATTTATTATAAAGTGGTTGGAAGTGTGGTTTATAAGCATTAACTTATCAAAACACAATGACCATATGTAAAGTTGGCACAAAAACATACACTTATTTAATCATTACCAAAGCACAATCAATAAGAGCATTAGGCACTACCTGGTGATGCAGGAGGTGGTTATCAGTGTCAGGGAGGGCAAACAGTGACAGTCAAGTTTTTACGGTATTCTTACCCCGTATGTCGTAGGATATTAATCTCGTGATATGTGTCAGATAATAAATGTATTATTATCGGATACAGCACATTTTACGTCGCTAATATGTAATAAGCATTAAGGGTAAACATTCTACAATTATCTCGATATATTTGTAATGTTGTTATTACTCAGAAATATGTCTGCTTTAGCTTCAGGTAAAAGAAAATACAGTATAATGAGCTTAAAATCCCCTTATCCCCTGTGTTATGTGGAGATGCTTCTTGAAGTGAAGTTTTATAATAAGACATGCGGGGAGAGACATCCTGATCACCTCTCCATTTTAATAGCTTATAATAAGAGTTCCGAATGTGTACGTGGTGGTTCGGTCTCACCTGGCCAGGTCTCGGTGAAGCACAACACCAAAGTAAAGAGCCGCTACGCCTGACTAACTACATACAGTGGAAAACAATGTAAATCATTATGGCGATAGAGGGTGAATCCATACCTGTTGGTACCGGTGCTCGGGTGTGAGTGAGGCAACCACACAGCCGAGCCTGCAGACCGAGGTGGGTTGTGGCCAAGAAATAAGCATGACGATCTTATTTTTCTTCAGTTCCCCGATTGTTGCGTTATCTAGTAGACAAGAGCTAAAACCAAAGCATAAATGGAAAGCGAATATTTTTAACAAACTGCTATAAGAACATAAGAACATAAGAACATAAGTAGTCTGCAATAGGCCGGTTGGCCTGTGCATGGCAGCTCCTGTCGAGAGTTACTACCACTCTCTATCATCCATGAATCTATCTAGCTTCCCTTTGAAACTTGCAGAATTAATGTTATCGACGTGTATATTCCACCTTTTCCTGGCAAGCTCAACCTCTGATTAGATTATATGAATAGACATAGGAAATTACCCTGATCAAGAACACCGGAGTTCATAACTAAGTCTACAGTGATCCAAAATGATAGAGAAGTTATGTTGTTGGTAAGATCGACCCTTCTGGTATGAATATGGAGGCCCAAGCTGCCCCGCGGGTGCACATATATACCTCTACACGAGGGAGAATCACGCATTCCTGACTTCCTCAACGTCTCTCCAGGTATGTTAACGTGTGTTCCCGCCGCCTATTAATTCAGTTTAACTTAGTCAATTTTGGTGAATATCAGTGCTCATGTGTTAACATAGTGAATTCTGTGCCAATTAAGTCGAGTAACGTAGAGATTTAGATATTGTCTGAACCGTTGCCAGGCGTATGTTTTGTATAGTTGAAGTTAGACCTTTACGCATTCGTGACTTCCTCAACGTCTCTCCAGTGTGTTGAGCTGAATACTCATCGGCTAACGTGGGGCGGTAACCGGGTTGGACGATGCCGTTGATTCGACAGGACTGAACTGGGAAGTCCGTTTCCTGCAAATCAGGCACCAGCTCCCCGGGGCGTGTGTCGGTCTACAACCGACCCCTAACAGCGATCTTCATTTGTTGTAGAGACCAGCGTTACCCTGGGGCACTCCTCACAGTCACATACTTTTACTTTTTACTTTTATCCTCTTCGCCACTGATCGGCTTGTTAGCCGCTTGGGCGATCGGTCACGACTCTTTTCCTTTATATTCTTCACCAAAAGGTCGGCTCGCTAGCCGCCCGGGCGATCGGTCACGTCTCTGTCACGCACTGTTGGCAAATACTGGGCATGCACCGGCTCCTGAATGTACCTGAACCCGCTCCAGGCCTAAGTATTATGGTACCTTGTTTGGGGGATAACTAGCAGAAATATAGAATCCCAGGTTAAGTATTGAACCACTGAATGAGAGTTAAAAGTGCCATGTTGTTCCTTGTGAATTAACAGGAGGTATTGTATGTTGAGATAATTGTGGAGTTGTCCAGTGTGCTATGTATTCATTGGTAGTGACCATGAAATGATAATCTGAGAGTATAATGATATAACCAAGAAGTGAAGAGTTAATTTGCTACTTGGTAAGGTAAGACCTGGGGGTCCAGTGATATCTGGTGTATACCCAGTACTGAATATCATGTGGCAGAGTGACAATACCACAATTGTCGATTGAAGTAATAAGTATTTGGAGGTATTTAATGAGGTAATAAGTTCTTGAAGTGTTTGATGACTTAAGAAATAAATTGCAGTTCTGCTTTGTCTGAGTGAATCTAAGATGCATCTTATCCAATCACTGTGTTAATAAATATTGAATTAGTAATCTACGTCTACGAGTATCACCACTCTATCCTTTCCCACATTGGTTCTCAGAAAATAACTAACTCACGTGCCTAGAAGCTCGCTACCTAACAGTTAACTAAGAGATGTTATATTCTAGAAAATCCTGGGTGGTGGCAGGCTACCGTTGTAAGTATAATAAGTGTGGTAATAACAAAGACATGGTTTCCCAGGTTAATCCATGGTTTAGAATATAACTAGAACAAAATATATGGAAGAGATTATAATATATGAAAGGAAATGAAAAGAAAGAACATTGACTTGGAAAATATAAGCAGAGAAGCATACAAGCTACATATATAAGAATATAAGGTATATAGAGATAAAGAACATATAAGAATATAAGCAAGAATATATAAAAGTAAGTATGTATGTAAAGAAGTGAAGAAGGATAAGTATATAAAACCGGATACTCATTGAAAAGAATAGCTGGATGGTAAATTATTGAAAAGAGAAAACTCGGCCCGTTACACCAACAGGTATGGATTCACCCTCTATCGCCATAATGATTTACATTGTTTTCCATTGTATGTAGTTAGTCAGGCGTAGCGGCTCTTTACTTTGGTGTTGTGCTTCACCGAGACCTGGCCAGGTGAGACCGAACCACCACGTACACATTCGAAACTCTTATTATAAGCTATTAAAATGGAGAGGTGGTCAGGATGTCTCTCCCCGCATGTCTTATTATAAAACTTCACTTCAAGAAGCATCTCCACATAACACAGGGGATAAGGGGATTTTAAGCTCCTTATACTGTATTTTCTTTTACCTGAAGCTAAAGCAGACATATTTCTGAGTAATAACAACATTACAAATATATCGAGATAATTGTAGAATGTTTACCCTTAATGCTTATTACATATTAGCGACGTAAAATGTGCTGTATCCGATAATAATACATTTATTATCTGACACATATCACGAGATTAATATCCTACGACATACGGGGTAAGAATACCGTAAAAACTTGACTGTCACTGTTTGCCCTCCCTGACACTGGTAACCACCTCCCGCATCACCAGGTAGTGCCTAATGCTCTTATTGATTGTGCTTTGGTAATGATTAAATAAGTGTATGTTTTTGTGCCAACTTTACATATGGTCATTGTGTTTTGATAAGTTAATGCTTATAAACCACACTTCCAACCACTTTATAATAAATTTACTTTAACTCTCTAGATATGTTTTTATACTATAAGTATTAATATTTTATAATTCCATTTTTCTGCTTACAACTTTTGTGGTATTAAGTGACCCCCAGCTCACCCACACTTCCAACTTTAGAGCTTTGTAATCCCTCCAAATAATTCTCTTCTCCATATTCTCAAATCTTCCCATTATATCTTCATCATTTTTCACGAAAAGGTGCATTGACCTGGGAACACCAGTATCACCTTTCACCTTCAGTGATAATCCGGAAATTGCAGGGTACCGTCCCAGGTCCCACCCGTCTACACCTGCTCGTGAAGCAAAGCCACTTGTACCGGCGGTCAGATCCTAGCAGGGAATATTATTTTGCGCTGGTTTCTGGGTTAGAAAAAGTAACCAGTTTCAACTTAAATTAATGAAAAGGGAAAGACAGTAATGTGACACCTGCCTCCTCCATATTGAGTTGTGAGAATTGGGATAAATTTGTAGAAGTTCTTGATTGTTAATATTTACTGAGGATAAGGAGAAAGAGAACTTAGAGAAGCCATAATATGTATCACTATAGTGTACATTGTTTACACTGCAGAAGATGGAGGGCATTACACCCGGCAGAAGGATCCCACTGGTGGACCTGGGCCAACTAGGTGAGTCACCTCCATCTCTTCATAAAATCACTACAAGATAAAACCTTTTTCTTAAACCATGTCGAGTGAACCTCCATTAAACTTTAACCTGCTGTTGTTGTTTGCAAACGAGAATCCGTTAAGGGTAACATTCTCTCGTCAAGGCAGCTAGGCCTGAGCCCTATAAGAGCGCCCCACACCAACAGGTCTGATGCATGACGAGGAGCCCAGTCAGGAGGAGTGGCAGCGGGTGGCACGACAGCTGCACGACGCCTTCACTGACATTGGCTTCGTGTACCTCACCAACCACGGCGTGTCTGATGACCAGGTAACCACTGTGTGCCTACAGTAAGAGGCAGTATTTGGTTGACCAAAAGGAAGAAACCATATTGTTTGCAAGCTTCAGTCACTCGAGTGTTACCAGAGTGTATTTTGTCACTCTAGTTACAGCTCCAGTGATATCTGGCCCCCGGTAACAACATTGGTCTGTCAGGAAGCTTCCTTTTTATATTTTCTTTAACTTATTTGCATTATGGTAGATCATAGAGAAAAATATTCCCTAATTTTTATTTTTATTTTATTGTTATTCAGATAATTTTATTAACAGTAAGAAAATAAAGAGTGCTCCATAATGTATCTGTAGATCAAAGAATACACACACACACACACACACACGTATGATAATTTCTTTGAAATCTTATACAGTACATATGCTCATAACCACATAGTTAACAAGAAAACACGAAATTCCCAAGCGCTTTCGCGTAATTCACAACTTCAGAGGTGGGTACAGTACTGTATATCAATTATCACACACAAATTCGTTCTTATTTTACTGCCAAGATTTATATAAAAATTGTATCAAATGTTTTATTTTAAGGAATAATGTAACAGAGAACCCCTGCTTAACATTAACTGTACATGACATGCTATCTATATCATGTTATTTGTTGAGCAGATGGACCACCTCTTCAAGTCAAGTGCCACCTTTTTCAACCTGGACGAGGAGACGAAGATACGCTACCAGAGAGACCCAGAGAAACAGCAGGGATACGTGGCAGTAGACAGAGAAACGTTGGCTTTGACACTTTCCTTATTCAT